GTCTGGCGTTTTGATAATTTGACACCACACTGGTCAATAGATGTTGAATTAACAAACTTCTACTGTATTTGTCTTATAAAGCTAATAAAATATTAAAATTTTAGTTCATGACACTAAAAAATATATATATTTTTTAATTTAGAAACATTTTCATTCTCTTAAAAGAACAGCTTCAGAACAATAATCTAATTTGTTACTGACATACTTCATATCAAACTGGTTTAAAAGTTTACCTAATAGATTAAATGTATTGTTTGAGTTTGAAATTATATCACTATTTAAGGCAGTGGTTTATTCTTCAAAACTAAATTATAGCATAGATAAGATATACAGTATTAGGAATTCTACTTCATTGCTTGAAATTAAGCTTTTGTCAATAGTGTTAACTGTAATTGTGTATCAACATTATCTAAATTACATATACTGTACAGGTATTATCTTTGAAACAAGTTATGAACTTGTTGATATTAGTTATGTTATTGTTTAACTAAATTATTTCCTAGAATCTTTCAATATCTGTTTGTCTTATTGCCTTTGACCAGTTTATAATTCTTTGAACAAACATTAAACTTGACATTTTATTTGGAAATATAATTTATGTTACTTTTGTTACTAGCATAGAAGTGTTTAGCTACAGTAGAAGCTTATTTTGGAAGTGGTGTTGTGTAAGAGTTTTATAATAAGAATGCAAGAATCAAAGAACCAGATACAGATCAAGCAAAGATTGATGCAAAATCAATAATAGCTGTGGTTATAAATATTGAGGATGATGAATTTTATCAACTTGGCACTAAAGTTAGAAAGTTAAAGTCATTTTATACACTAGAACCAATTTACATTATGTAAAGAAAATTTTATCAGCATCAAAAAAAGTAGGAAAAGAAGTTAATAGAGACGTTGCGGCTGTCGTATTCAGCCCAAAACGTGAATGGCAGATGGTCGAGCGCCATCATCTGGCAATTCTAGAAGTTGATAATGGCATTCGCTACATCAAGCATGGCAAGTAGAAGATCAGTTTAAACTTATTAATTTTTTTTGTATTTGGGGTTAAAATTATGACATATTTTATTAAAATAATGATTATTTAAGCATTTACGAATAATAATGTAAAGAAACAGACTATTTTAATNTAAAATCATTCCCGCCATTTTGTCAAATGGTCGTCTGTTTTCTATGTTTTGTACAGGATTGTCTAAGGACTGTTTTTATTTTATATAGTGGCATTTTTGCCGCTTAGTAAAATAATATAAATAATGTACATCAAACAGGTAAGTGCAATTGAACTTCGATTCCATCATAAAATATATTTCGGATGAAAGCATTATGATCTTTTAATTCGGTAATATGAATTCAAGAAGTAAAAGTAAACAAATCACATACCCTTTGATTGTAGTGACACACAACACAAACTCTTAATTACAATCATTTCTATGATTATAATTAAGAATCGTCAATCAAAAATTTTATAAATGTTATGTGTAGACACAAATATCTCCACTGTAATGCTTATTGGAAAATACATAAAAGTTTTGATTCTGTGATAAATATCAATAACAAATGAAACTAAGGTGAAACTAAAACACTTTGTACTTTTGTTTGCTTGATAAACATTTTATTTAATAAGTTATTAGATATTATATGTCATTTTTATATGTTTTTTGAAATTCATTCTTTGATTTTATTTTGGCATGAGTAAGAATTGTTTTGATCGTTGAATTTACTTAATAAGAGATAACTTTTCAGATGTTTTCATCTATATATAATATAATAAGCTTAATATACCTGTGTTAATGTGGAATAATAACTTTGTGTCATTTTTGGAAAAATATATATAAAGGAATATAATTAACTTACTAACTTCAAAGACTCATTACTATAATCTTAGAAATAAAATCTATTAATTAAGAAATCATTTCTGTAGTCTGGAATATCTATACATTAGTTAATAGGCATTACTGAATTGTTGATAGCAGTGGCATGCCATTCATGGAAGCTGTGGAAGCACTGCTTCCCTTATATTTTCTAAAATATAAATACAAATTGTATGATTATTCTCCTATTTTAACCTACTTTTAATTAATTAAAATTAATATTTTATTATAACCGCATTATGTATCTTATTACTAATTTCTATACTACGTGTGAAAAAAACTATAAGATTGCTATTGTATATTCGAATATCAGTGGCGGAATGGAAGAGCTATATTGTCAGCTTACAAACAGCCAGATTATACGCATGTGCTTTACAGAGCACCAACCTCACATGGTTTAGCTGCACACCATAACGCTTCCAATGATTCTATCCGGGACAGGTTCTGGGCTGTTAGCCGCCTGCCTGCTAGATATTTGGCTGCCCTCGCCCCATTATGTGAATCTCAAGTAGATTTATAACTTAACTCAACCGATAGGAATTTACTGGTCCATACAGTTTTTATGATAGTTCTGTATAGTTGACAGGAGTTTAAAAAATCCATTAAAATATTTGATATTTTTATTCCACTCTCCCATCTTATATTACTTACGGATTTCAATGTTAAACTAGAGTGATATTACGATTTAGTATGTCTCATCTATAAAGGGATGCAGAAAAAATGTGTACAATTCTTGTACAATGTTAAAAAATTAATTGTTACTTTAGCAGCATCTTTTACAACTAAATTTAATGAATGAGACAGATGCAAAAAAATCTCTAGAATTTATTTTCCTTAAATTTACGATTGATGTATCCATTGTTGTAAAAATTTGTCTTTCCACTTCTTTCCTGAGACAACAAATATTCGAGTACAAAGTACAGTGGTGCCTCGTATAACGTATGCTTCGAATAACGGACGCTGCGAACAACGGACTTTCTGTTTGGCTGTTACCTGACTCGAGCAACGGACTGATTACGAACAACGGACTTTCCGTTCGGCAGTTATGTGAGGTGAACAACGGTCTTTCTGTGAACAAGTGCGTATGATGTTTCCACTCTTTTGCCATTGCCAATGACAATTTGCTATTTTTATAATATATTAGTATACAGTAATTAAAATATATTATTAGTATATATGAAGTACAGAGCTTCCTTTGGGTTTTGGCTTGCTCCCTTGTTTATTATGTACAGTACATCACCTCAGTGCAGGATATTTACATTTATTCAAGTGTTGTGCAAATCATGGCTTCTAAAAAAACAGAAAGGTGATTTCAATTGAAACAAAGCAAGACATCATCAGAAAGAGTGAAAGTTGACAAAAACTTCCTTGTCAAATGGGGAGAGGTTAAAGAGTTTATCAACACTCATTAACCAAACAGAGCTGAGGCCAACAGGATCAATGATCTCTACAATGACACCCTTGCCCGACAGATGTAAAAAAAGAAAGAGAAACAGACCACCTTGGACATGTTTTTCAAGAAGCAAGCTGCCAAAAAACAAAGGATGGAACAAGAGGAAATGTCCCTGCAAGCTCAGGTAGCCTCTCCTGAATCTGACTCCGATTAAAAAACAATAAAAAGAGACCTGCTGAAATGTGTAAAAAGTCTGTATCTGTATGAATGTGTAAAGAAAGTGTTCCTCCACCTCTTCCTCACAACATCTGACTACCCAGCATAATTGGTGACTGCTCCATTTTAATTTTTTTTATGGTACAGTATGGTTATTTTATGCTGCGGAACGAATTATATGTTTTAACATGTATTTCTATGCAAAAATGCATTTCGTATAACGGACTTTTCACTTAATTAACGGACGTGCACCTGGAACGGATTAAGTACATTATACGAGGCACCACTGTAATTAGTTTCGACTTATTTCTACTTAAGAAGTAGTTAAATAATTAAGAGATTAGGAAATTAGGGACATAAATAAAACCCTGCTGAAAGAGCCAGAATTTTACTTAAAAGCTTAACCAAACCAATCTCTAGCCGAGTACAGTGGAGACTGATTTCTTCGAAATATTAGATGTAATAAAGACAGAAATTTTTCCACTTCAATGACAGTGACCGAAAAGTTGTAAATTTTGAAAATTTCCATGGACACCCGACCCTAAAACAAATTAATTAGAAAACAAATGATGAGCAATCTATTAAGTTTAACATATCTAGATTTTTATAACTATAGTGAGAAACATTTAAAATCTACAACAACCCTGTTGTGTCCTTTGAGATATACTAGTGATGCGACAAAAGAGGCATTTGACATTAACTGGTATCGGCACCCTCAAGATTTGGCAGCCTGTGTGCATGTACGCACTGCACACCTACCGGGACCGTCTCCGATTCCATCCATTAGCCACTCGTAGGGATCTATTTGACTAATTGCATTGTTTTAAGATTTAAAAAGTAAAGAATATTTTATGTTATGTTTATGTACGTTTCTTTACAAAGCTATATTTAATTATAATTTTCTTTAAAAGTATATTCATACAATTGAAGAATATTTTGTACCAGATATGTACCGTTATATCCACCACACATTTTATTTCACCAAGTAAGTTTTTATTATTTTATTTTTAATTGTAGCCCTTATATCGTGGCTAGCGATTCGGAATGTAATTGTGATATTAAAAATGCATTTAGAGAAGTCTACGGTTTTTACTGGCTTATCGAANTTTAATTGTAGCCCTTATATCGTGGCTAGCGATTCAGAATGTAATTGTGAAATTGTGATATTAAAAATACATTTAGAGAAGTCTATGGTTTTTATTGGCTTATCGAACAAACGAATACAAGTGGACCCTAGACCATCACTGACATGCAATTAACTGATTGTCCTTGGAAGTTGACTTCTTACAGAAACAGCTTCCCTATTGTCAAATGTCACGGCACATCACTGACTTTTACAGTAACATACATAAAAACTGGTTAAATACATAGAAAAATTTATAATTAGAATAAATCTTATTAATTAATTTTTATTTAGTTTTAAAATTGTTTTATAATTTAGTTACTGGTAGTATTTTAAATTTTATGTATAAGTATACATATAAAATTATTAATGTCATATGTAAAAATTTTTTTTGTAGCTACTGAAACACATGACGATGATGGTTTACCTCATACTCTGGAACATCTCACATTTATGGGTAGTGAATTATATCCTTTTAAGGTAATTACGTTCATTTTGATAACTGACAATTTATTAGTAATTATTGCTGTGGTATATTTACTAGTGAATTGTATTTTCTTTAGTGATTTAAAAGTTTTATGCCTTACTCAGTAGTGTAACTACTATTAAGTGCAGTTAATTCTTAAGCATCCATGACATAAAGGGTTCTAGAGCAGGCCCTGGGCACTGTTTCTATGGAACAGTAAAATATGAGAATTTTTTATAATTATACAGGATACTACTTAAACATCTTTCCAATCCAAGTGCAAGAGGTATTTCCAATATTGGTTAGATTAGATTAAGTTGTGGACTGCAGTAGACACAATACACAAGATATTGAGTTGCCATACGTGTAGCTATTCTGCTGTTATCTGTAACCAGCATAACATGCAGGAGATGCTGCACTGCAATTTGAATGGTGCATATGATGTTACCTTTATAACATGACAATTCACAACATTTTCAGCATATTTTATGGACTGATGAAGGATTTTTTCCTGGAATGGAGTATATAATCATCACAATCTGCATTACTGTTTTATGATACACACAATATATGTGACACTAAGTATATTTTACTCTAAACATCTGGTATGGAATTTGGGTTGAGCAGCTTCTTTCTTGGTCCTGTATTCATTGACGATACCCTGAACAGTGACTGATATCTGAACATCCTAAATACAATAGTGGTCAGATGGCTTGATTTGCCATTGGTGCAACATCAGCAGTTTTGGTACCTGCACAATGGTGTGTCAGCAGTTTGCCAACCATTGGATAGGCCAACATGTCTAGTTCCATGGCCACCATACTCCTCAGACTTGACCTCTCTGGACTTTTCTCTGTGGGTCACTTAAAAGCATCAGTATATGATGCATACTCAGTAGCATAGTGATGTTGCAAACCGGGGAGACACACAACAGACTTGTAAAACAGTGATACTAGTAATGCTCTGTGCCATCTATAATGTCATGCTCAACTGTCTGCAACAGTGATGAGCTGCAAGTGAACTTTGTATACTTCTAGTAAGCCATATGCAGTTATTCTTATGGATTTGCAAGTATGAAGTTTGCAAACCCAGAAAGGAAGAGTTAGTTAAACACGTGTCGGATGATCAAGAGACTTATTATTGTATGTGGGTAGTGGCATTGGACATACTGACACAAGCACCTTTACAAATTAAATCTGTTTATTTTATAGAAGATGGGTATATACACTTCCTTATATCGGGTATCTCTTTATCAGTGTTAGAGGTGGTCTTGGAGATTATTCGTAGTTGTAGTAGGCAGCCCTGGGGTCCTATCTTGAATAAGTCTGGTGGATGGAGTATGATGGCAAAATACAGGCAGGAACAATGGAACTTTGTTGAGATTAATGCAAAAGCAAAGAGGAGTGCACAGATCACTTTTGACAGTAAAAATTACAGAAATCTGCTCTTTGTCCTTGAAATCTAAGGTATTTAAAGAATTTCATCCTCAAATTTCCCATTCTAATTGGTTCAGATTCCCTCTTGTCATTTTCTGACTGGTCTCTTTCCTTGTTTCCAGGTGGAAATAAGATCAAATCGGGTCACAAGAAAAGTCAATCTTTGGTATTCGACTAGACACCATTTCTTGATTCTGACCAGGAGATATAATGGAACTTTGAAACTTGCACTCATTCTGACATTTTGGAATTTTAACTACTAAACATGACGCTTTCCTTTCATTAAACTTTTCAGTTTCCAGACTCAGTTTAATTAATTTCAATCATTTGTATACAAGCATCAGAGTCAAAGTTTGAACTCTCTAATCTGACATTGATTTATTACTTAACACATGTCTGAGCCACACTTAGGATTCACATTGTTTATGTTCACATTGCTACATGTTATGTTCATTTAATACAATTTCTTTTCTATTGATATTTTAAAATATATTTTTACTGCGATTAATAGCAGGTTCAGACTCGGTCTGGAACCTCTTATAGCTTTTAAGCCTGTGGAGTACCAACAAACTCCATGACTTCCAGTACACTATGTATTAAAATAATATATACATTGTTATTGTCTAAACGACATTGCCAGAAGTACGTAAAAATAAAATAAATAAATAGTAATTATATAATTTATTCTCATCTTTTTACCAATCAAGTTTAGTTTGAATGTCCTTTATCACAAATATCAGCTTAATTAGAGTTGTATAATGACTTGAGGCAAAAAACAGGAGAATATAATTGTTTCCAAAATCCCAGGAACTGCATATTATAATTTTAAAGGTTCATGACTCGTCTACAGCTTTGTATTGCTGTTGAAGTTGGCTGTTTTGCACATGTTTTGTAACAAAATAAAGCTTATTTTTTTGCATAAATTTCAGCAATTTTGTGTTTATTCTTTAGCCAGATATTTATACGTTATGCTAAATAGTATTAAATTAGTTTCCTTCAATTATTTTAGTACTTGAACAAGCATACACAACATGCATACATTAGTGCAATGCTGGATACAATGTGATCTGATTGTAATTAGTCTATAATATGAGAAGAAAGAATATATTGTCCAATGGCATCACTTATATGAGATATATTTAATAAACATAATAGATTTGAAATTTTAATTTGTTCATAAAAATTATTTACTCATTAATCCAATTATTTAACCAAAATACTGGCTGTAAACCTTATGTGGTTGCTGTGATTATTTTTGTAATTCTTTTATGATTTTTGCTTTTGTGGTTTGTTAGGTTTTTTTTTTTTTATCTTTGTTATACGTCTACTTATAGGATTTTCTAACAATTTAAAAATTTTGCTTAAATTCCTATATCATCATGAATGCAGTGGGCTCTAAGCATTGGAGGGCCCTTTATCTTATTTTCCTCGAGGACTAAAATGTCTAGTTAAATGACTGACTTTGTTCAAAGAGTTTTAATAGAATTACATCTGCTATCTGATAATAAAGAAATGATTTTATTATAATTAATACTTTTAAATTATAAATACAGTATCCTAATATTTTCAGTATATAAATAAAGTATTAGGTTTCTATGTGTAAATGTGTCAAGTACACTAAACAGGATCTTTTATTCTCTGTATCTTCAGAATTAGTTGTCCTTATTATTCATCTATTGCATTTTTATTGTCTTGACACTGATAATTTTTATCTTATTTATTTTTTAATTTACATAAGTAGAATTAGAATTAAATTATTTGTTTTGTTACTATCTTTAAGTCTTAATCATTAATCATTTTAATCACTTTTAGGGTATCTTGGACCAATTAGCAAATCGATGTCTGTCTTCTGGTGCATATGCTTACACTGCGATCGACCACACAACTTATATTGTAAATACTATTGGACCTGAAGGATTTTTGAACTTGCTACCTATTTATATGGATCATTTGCTATATCCACTTCTGACTGTGAGTATTCTTTAGTAAATTTTTATTTCTTTTATCATATGTATTTTTAATATATTATTTAAATTCATAGACATATTTGATCAACAATTTATTATACAGTTCAACCTTTGCTAAGTAGTAAAAATTTTTTCTTATAACTAGCACTTTTGGCTTTTTTTAAATGTTTTTTGAGCTAATGCATGCAAAGAATAACTGGGAATATATGTAGGATGTTAAAAAAAGCATTCAGCACTTATATATTAGGTAACACATGTCATGCTGAGTAAAAATACTAGTAAATACAGATTAAAAATTTAATTGTAAATTGAACTAGTAAATATTGTGATGTTCGTAGCGAAGGTTATATAGTCCCACAAACAGAAAAACATAAAAGAGATGCAAAACAGAAATATTTACGTACCACAGATCAATTTTATTTGCTTTGAACCGGTTCTTAATTTATAGGCGATAATCCACATATATACATTAATCACACGTTTTGGTCTTATCAGTTAGAATGATCGAGTTGTGACAAAAATTTCACGCGAGGAGACTTACAACTATAACTTAATCTACTTACAAACTAAGGAAAGGAGGAAGATAGACGAGTAAGGATAGAAGTAGAGGAAGGAAGAAATACCCAGGAACTCTTAGCCATGTGATCTCGGATGGGTCACTGTTCTGCGATATTCATCTAATTTCTGCTATTCTTATTTTCTCTCTGTCCTCTCAAGATATCTTTTCTGGAGTATCCTCAGAAATCTCTCACTAAGAATCCTTAATTAATTAAAATTAACGGGAGAATTTCGACCTCAGTCACAATAGTCCTTAGCCTCCAATCTCTTTGTTCAAGATTTGGAGTGCTATACAATCCGACCTCACTCACTGGTCTCTCTTTCCAAAACTGCCTTAGCAAGGCTTCGTCGCCTCTGATCTGTCTCTACGCGATCAGGAGAACGACCCTTCTGCCTTCCTCTCTCGACGAAAGTCATTATCTAGATATAGATTTTGATGACGATACTTCTGTTTTAAATCATACAATTTATAAATCTTTCAAAACTCATACAAAAAAAATTTTTGTAAATATTCTCTGTAAACACATATATGTGATGTAATTTATAACTATTATTTGTTTTAATAAAATCTATAGAAAAAAATAAAAACTGAAGAGATGTCATTAAGACCTGAAATGCATAACTACATCCAGTAATAAAGTCAATAAGAGTTTCTTGTGTGATGTAAGTTACTGAAAAAAAGCCAAAAAATTTTAGGCTTAAAAAATCAACAGAAAATTTGTGACTATTAGCTTATTCTGCATGTATAAAAGAAAATAATGAATGATATTTGTCCATTGACCCATATAATTTTGTTGTATGTTAACCAAAACCCATCCCTTGTTTTCAAGACCAAGTTAGCTCCAAGTACAATTTAGTGCCTACCATCTTGTGGAAGTGCTGATCTTATGTCAAATCATAGAGTTTGAAGCTCCTTATGTAATGTACAATTCCCTTTTTTTATAGCTTGTGCTCCCTTTTATAGTCTTCAGGCACCTCTGGACCTTGCAGTATTACCTATTGAATACAAAGAAGCAAATAAAATAATTTAAAATATGTAATTTAAATATCTTTTAAATGTGAAATCTCAGAAAGTAACTGCTTCAAAAACTACACTTTCAATAATACTAATAATGTCACATTAATACTTTTGAATGCAGTATAATTTTAATTATACTCTAACGTTTTCAGTCTTTTTTAACAACCTTCTTCAAGGAAAAAATATACATTCTAAATAGAACAAATGTTGTCAGTATGCAAATTATCAATTTGATTTGAAAGCTAATTTATTAGAACATAATTTACATTATTCTCTAACTGCACTTAACTAATACTCAAACCTCAACAGAAAAATCTTTAAAATGCAGCCTTTTTATTCAAATTTTTGAATGTTTTCGGCCAGTTTGAATGGCCTTTATCAGGAACATAAGAATCAAATGGAAATCAAATAACCTCCCCAAAAAGGAAGGACAAAATCCCACTGAGAATCAACTAAAATAGTCATCTCAGAAACAAAAGGATCAACCGAGTACGGGTACCCCTTTCCTTTCGCTATACTCTGTCTATCTTAATTTTCCTACTCATATCTTTAGGCATTAGTTAGTTTTAAAAAAGAAAAAATTTGTAATAAATATTGTGCCCCTTTTTTATTATTATTGTAAACATGAAAACCTCTCTGTTTGTCGCAGAGGTCCATGTGCTGGACTTTTTGTTTTTAGGCAGAGTTGGACGTATGCCCTAGAGTTGGTATCCGAATCCCTTTTATTGTGCATTATGTTATCTCAATATTGTTGTATTATCACCTTAATGGTGATTGCGCACAACTGCATTTTTCACACATGTGCCAAATGTCTGTTATTTATGATTATTTTTATTGTTATGTTATTATTAATATTAAGTTTAATAGCAATATTCTTATGTTATTAATTTTATTATTATAACATCAAAGTCGGTCAAGGAAGGCCATTAAAAATGACTGAAAATATCAGAGTATAATTAAAATTATATTTCATTTAAAGTTATTTTTTATTACAATTTTATTGACATTGTGGAAATCACAATAATCAGTATTAAGACTATTATGAAGGTGAATGATTACCACATGAGAAGGAAGACAGAAAACCAACTTAACAATAAGTTTATATACAAGTAGAATATTGATATATACATAAATTTACAATGTTGTTCACCAGGTCATACATACAGACACCGATAAACTATACAGATTTGTCTGTATGATGAGTTTGCTATAGTACTGGTCCTTTAAGACATGTGAGTCTCACACAGAAACTAATTATTAGGCAATGTCCACTATAGACAATTGATTTAAACCAACAAAACTTTCCAATCACCCGGTTGGCATTTTAGCCGATGCAAATAGATTCCTTCTGATAATACAAGTCAGTATAGATATCTCTTTCACTCATCACATGGTTCATAAGAAAAAAAGACCTTAACACACAAAGAAAAAAAAACAGAGGGCTTTTCTTTCTTCACCCGGGTAACCTCTCACCCACCAGAAAAGATCCATGTTGCCAATCTGCATTACCTTAAATACCCTTTCCCTCTCCTTGCATGCTGCCAACCCCTTATACCATAAATATAAAAATAAAATATTATGTATAGCCCAAAAACCTGTGACGACACAACATAAAGGATAAAAATATAAGTAACTCTGAAATAGTTTAATGAAAATCATAAAGTCCACAAACCAAAATTTTACTTTCCTGGCTGTTATGTATACATAACAAGGAAAAGTATCAGAATTGTTTATAATTAAATTTATATTTATTTCAGGATGAAGCATTCGTAACAGAAATACATCATATTAATGGTGAAGGAAAAGATGCAGGTGTTTTATACTGTGAAATGGAATATTATGAAAACTGTAGTGGTAATCAATGTTATAGAGAAATGTATAAAGAGGTATACCCAGGAAAATGTGGCTATAAGTCTGAGGAAGGTGGACGATTAAAAAATTTGAGAGAAAGTACCACTAATGAAAAGGTATTTATTTTACAATTCTACAGTTGAAAAATGACATTTTATTTTGAAAAACTTCATTATTGGAATAATTTCCAAATGTTAACTTTATATCAAATAATATAACAATATTATATTATTTGATATAAAGTTAACATTTGGAAATTATTCCGTTAAAAGTAAAAACAAGTGCAAATAATTGAAGAATATTATTTCTATTCATTTCTGAAATTCTTATGTTAAAATTTTTAAAGTGTAATTCAATTCTAAAATATTAAAATATTTTTTTTTATGCTTATCTTTTTCATTTTATAAAGTTGTACAAGACTTTACTATAAACTTGTATAGAATAATATCTATTAGATGTTAATCTCACATTTTTATAATTATTTTACAGGTAAAAGAATATCACCGTCAGTTTTACAGAATTGAAAATCTTTGCATAACAATAACCGGAAAACTAAATGTTTCTGACGTATTTAAAGCCCTTTCTCCTATAGAAGAAAAAATAATTCAAAAAGTAAGTGAATATGTTTACCTTAATTTTTTGTGATTAATTTGTAGATTATTAAGTAACTGCAATGACACAAATGCAACCCTGAATGAGGCATATGGAATCTTATCAGAGCTGCGTACTATGCCCATAGAAATAAAAAAGTCAAAAGAACTATTGATCTACATGTGACTTTTTGTGAGATAAAGTTCTCCAAAATCAGCCTATGTGGAATTTTGAAGACTTAAAGAATGGGATAAAATTTAAAAGTGAAAAAATCCAGATCTATTTATGAAAAAAATGCTAAAATCAATTGTTTTCCACTTTACTAGAAATGGCTAAAAGCTCACAAAACACAAGACATTCCGTTGCACTGAATACTTCCTTGGTATGATTGGAGTCACAGTGTGTACTCCATTAATCATGCTATCATGTATTTAAAAGCAGATGGATAACTTGCCAAAGGTCACAGTTAGAGATATGGTTCCTTTGACTCTTTTGATTGTCTGGAGATTAAAATTTGGGGAGATTCAAACCCTTCACTCAGAACTGCATTTGTACCGTTGCAATAGGATTAATGAAATGATAGTTAGCCATGGAAAAACAATTCTAAAAAGTATAGGATGGATGATAATATCAACAGGACTAACTTAAGAAGTTCTTTATAAATTATGATAGAAGTGCATCTAGGTAACCCCTACGGCAGCACTTCCAGAATCTCGACAACATGCATGCTTTGAAAGTTAATCTAGGTGTTGCTGTCTTTAGTTTACAAGTTATGTAACGTCATTTGAGTTCTAGATTAATCCCTTAACATTTTATAACTTTGTTAAGGATTAGAACTGCATTTGATTCACTAATGGCATAATTCTTTAATAATTATTTTATTTTTCATTTGAAAGAAATAGGCTGAATAGGCTATTTTCAGTAATTAAAATAGATTCTAAAATATGTTTAAAATTGAATTAACAAAGAAAAATTACAATACTTTGTTCCAAAAAAGTAAAAATTAATTTGTTGACCTCTTGCAGCTTTATGTTTCAATCTAAAAATTAAGATTCTAATTTTTGAGATAAGAAAAATTAATTTTTCTTAATTTTTGAAAAATAAGAAAAATTTTTGAGATAAATTTTTCTTATTTTAACAGATACATTAAAAATAAAATAGGTATTTTATGATTTAAGTGACTATTTTAACTAAAAAGTATATTAAGAAATTCTTGTATTTTTTTAGGGTCGTCTTCCTGAATTTATTCGTCCATGGCAAAGTCCCATCCCTCCTCTTACAAAGCCAGTTGTAAAAACTGTGCCTTATCTTTGTGATAATTCTGAAAATGGAATTATTGAAATAGCATGGAGAGGACCACTTTTAAATGCAAGTAATTTTAATTATTCTAAATAAAGAATTCTTTTAATAATGACTGTCTAAGGAATAAATTTTTTTAATGAATGAGTATTGAACATCACTTATTCAATTAAACATTTTAAATAAATCTATTCATTTTGTCAATAATACTTTAGAAGTAATTGAATTCCTTTCTCATGTTATTTTATGCACAAATAATGTTTCAATATTTTTTATTATAACAATCTCTTTCCATCAATAAAGGTTGAAGCAACCAGAAATTTAATCTGTGAGAAGACAAACTTAAACTAAGGGCTTTTAAGTAAAGTATAACCTCTGAATAACAGACACTGTTGAGGCAGAGACGTTTGTCCACTATATAGAGGTATCCACTATTCGGGGGTACATGCTGGTGGTCATATTGTATTTTAACCTGGTCATTATAAAGTGAAGAATACAATGGATTGTGAAAACATCAAATTTTCATTAGGAATGTGAAAATACCAAAAAGTATACCAAATAAAACTATATATACAGTATATTATTTATCTTTTCAGCTGTAAAAATCACATTTTAATTGAATTCTAAATAGCAAACAAATTGTATAGGATACTTTAATTAAATGGAACATAAAAATGACATAAACATTGTTTAATCATTAATTTATCAAAAATGACCCGAGCGGAAGTAACAAAAAAGAAAAATGAAACTGTTATTGTGAACAGAAGGGATGACAAAGCTCTGTTTAGACAACGAGAGTTTGAATGTCGAGTTATGAAGGCGATTTGCTAGTCACTTCAAGGGGAAAGAAATGAATTTGGTATTCTTGCATTTATAATGTCATTTATAATTTATGCAACTAATAAAAATTGATATAGTTTTTGTAGTTATTGAGTAATGTGTAATTTTTCAAACATTTGTTTTTTTCAATAAATGATTTATTAAAAATTACTTTAGCCACCACAAAACTGTTAAGATCATAAATGATGTCATAAATGCAAGAAAACAGAATATCTTCCTATACTTTAAAGAGATCAGCAACATTTTAACATGATCTTTGAACTTTCACCAAATAAATTCTATTGTCTTTTTATTTACCTTTAAACTCTGTTTTTTTCATTACTGCTGTGCTATGGTTCTTGTCAAATGAATGAATAACTTCAGAAAAATTTATGGTTTCTCGGTACCATAGGCTCAATTTCAACAATAAGACAAAAGTTTAATAACATTAATATGTGTGATAATAAATGGTGATTGACAACTTAACCAGATTAGTCTTCTCTAACAGATAAAGAATATTGTTCAGCTGTTTACAACTTGCCCTCCTCTTCTATTCCTATTTTAAGGCAGTATTTATTTGATGTCTATGGTCAAAATTTGTCTTCTGAATGATTTGTTATAAAAGTGACATGATGCGGCTATTTTTTTTTTTTTAAATTAATGAAGTAAGTTTAAAATACATCATTTGCCAAAATATTTAAAAGTGCAACTTAAGGGAAATTTTGTCATCAACCATGAACTAAATTATGCAACAATGACTTTGCAGTGATGTCAGTAACCTTGGTGATCTCATTTGGTCACTGACATCATTGCAACATAAATTCAATCACAGATCCGAAATCAATAAAACATTTATTCTATAGGTAATATTTCCATAAAATAAGTAACCTATACTTTCTGTCAAAACATAAAATGAATATAACCAAAATTTCATCTGGTTTGGACAAAACTTGTAGGAGTTATAAGGAGTTCACACACACATACACACACACACAACAACTTTTATATTACAAATAAGTTATGTGTAGATAAACGGAGCCATATTTTTCCCTATGCCTGGAGAAAATTTAGGGCCTGCAGTGATTCCTACTCCCCTATAAAATTAACATTATTGTTATTAATAGAAAATAGTCTTTTAAATCTACTTTTTATTAATAAGAAAACAATCTACATATTGGATTTCTTCAAAAAACACGGTAAAAGAGGCCCTCTCTACGGGTCCCATAGAAACTTTCGACGACTCTTAGGAGTAGAGCTAACTCAAGGGCCTAGACTGACGGCAGAGNAATTAACATTATTGTTATTAATAGAAAATAGTCTTTAAAACTATTTTTTATTAATAAAGAAAAATTCTATGTATATCATTTATTCAAAAAACAAAAAAGGCTAAAGGGGCTGCAAGAGACAAAAGGACTCCAGGCCCAATACAAGCATTCAATGGCCCTGAATATCATCATTCATTTTTGAAAATTAAATTAGTTTTCTGCAGGTTTCTGTTGTCTGGCAATATCATATTTTCATTTATTTTTCACTACTTTAAGCACTTTGACTTTTTACAGAACATGCATTTTGGGAGCCTGTAAACATCTGCATACTACAAACTGGTAAACTACATTTCAACCTTTTTTTTTTTATTTTAAATTCAAAATATGCAATATCTTATCTTTGAATTATCCAACTTTATACTAAAAAATTCAAATTAATCATAATTTTTTAACACTATAAGTAATTGAAATACAAAGTTTGAAGGGAATAACAGGAGGCTTGAATTATATTCAGTAATTCAAATTAATCAAGATTGAATTAACCTGATAAAACATTATTTAGAGATGAAATATATCATTTCATGAATTAAATACTTTAAATTTATAATCTGAGTAGTTTAGTGTTTTAATTGTTCTAAAAATAACAAATGTTTTGACAAGGAGGTTATAACAATAGAAACCCTAAAATGCATTAAGGTTTTGTAATTAACATGATACTTGAATTGTAAATAAAAGCATCTAGTTTAATTGCAGCCGTAACTCTTCGCCTGTTTGAATATTGGAATTTGAACACATCAAACACTGAAGAACAGGATCTTTTATTCTCTGTATCTTCAGAATTAGTTGTCCTNATTATAAAGTGAAGAATACAATGGATTGTGAAAACATCAAATTTTCATTAGGAATGTGAAAATACCAAAAAGTATACCAAATAAAACTATATATACAGTATATTATTTATCTTTTCAGCTGTAAAAATCACATTTTAATTGAATTCTAAATAGCAAACAAATTGTATAGGATACTTTAATTAAATGGAACATAAAAATGACATAAACATTGTTTAATCATTAATTTATCAAAAATGACCCGAGCGGAAGTAACAAAAAAGAAAAATGAAACTGTTATTGTGAACAGAAGGGATGACAAAGCTCTGTTTAGACAACGAGAGTTTGAATGTCGAGTTATGAAGGCGATTTGCTAGTCACTTCAAGGGGAAAGAAATGAATTTGGTATTCTTGCATTTATAATGTCATTTATAATTTATGCAACTAATAAAAATTGATATAGTTTTTGTAGTTATTGAGTAATGTGTAATTTTTCAAACATTTGTTTTTTTCAATAAATGATTTATTAAAAATTACTTTAGCCACCACAAAACTGTTAAGATCATAAATGATGTCATAAATGCAAGAAAACAGAATATCTTCCTATACTTTAAAGAGATCAGCAACATTTTAACATGATCTTTGAACTTTCACCAAATAAATTCTATTGTCTTTTTATTTACCTTTAAACTCTGTTTTTTTCATTACTGCTGTGCTATGGTTCTTGTCAAATGAATGAATAACTTCAGAAAAATTTATGGTTTCTCGGTACCATAGGCTCAATTTCAACAATAAGACAAAAGTTTAATAACATTAATATGTGTGATAATAAATGGTGATTGACAACTTAACCAGATTAGTCTTCTCTAACAGATAAAGAATATTGTTCAGCTGTTTACAACTTGCCCTCCTCTTCTATTCCTATTTTAAGGCAGTATTTATTTGATGTCTATGGTCAAAATTTGTCTTCTGAAAGATTTGTTATAAAAGTGACATGATGCGGCTATTTTTTTTTTTTTAAATTAATGAAGTAAGTTTAAAATACATCATTTGCCAAAATATTTAAAAGTGCAACTTAAGGGAAATTTTGTCATCAACCATGAACTAAATTATGCAACAATGACTTTGCAGTGATGTCAGTAACCTTGGTGATCTCATTTGGTCACTGACATCATTGCAACATAAATTCAATCACAGATCCGAAATCAATAAAACATTTATTCTATAGGTAATATTTCCATAAAATAAGTAACCTATACTTTCTGTCAAAACATAAAATGAATATAACCAAAATTTCATCTGGTTTGGACAAAACTTGTAGGAGTTATAAGGAGTTCACACACACATACACACACACACAACAACTTTTATATTACAAATAAGTTATGTGTAGATAAACGGAGCCATATTTTTCCCTATGCCTGGAGAAAATTTAGGGCCTGCAGTGATTCCTACTCCCCTATAAAATTAACATTATTGTTATTAATAGAAAATAGTCTTTAAAACTATTTTTTATTAATAAAGAAAAATTCTATGTATATCATTTATTCAAAAAACAAAAAAGGCTAAAGGGGCTGCAAGAGACAAAAGGACTCCAGGCCCAATACAAGCATTCAATGGCCCTGAATATCATCATTCATTTTTGAAAATTAAATTAGTTTTCTGCAGGTTTCTGTTGTCTGGCAATATCATATTTTCATTTATTTTTCACTACTTTAAGCACTTTGACTTTTTACAGAACATGCGTTTTGGGAGCCTGTACATCTGCGTACTACAAACTGTTAAACTACATTTAACCTTTATTTTTTTTTGGATTTTAAATTCAAAATATGCAATATCTTATCTTTGAATTATCCAACTTTATACTAAAAAATTCAAATTAATCATAATTTTTTAACACTATAAGTAATTGAAATACAAAGTTTGAAGGGAATAACAGGAGGCTTGAATTATATTCAGTAATTCAAATTAATCAAGATTGAATTAACCTGATAAAACATTATTTAGAGATGAAATATATCATTTCATGAATTAAATACTTTAAATTTATAATCTGAGTAGTTTAGTGTTTTAATTGTTCTAAAAATAACAAATGTTTTGACAAGGAGGTTATAACAATAGAAACCCTAAAATGCATTAAGGTTTTGTAATTAACATGATACTTGAATTGTAAATAAAAGCATCTAGTTTAATTGCAGCCGTAACTCTTCGCCTGTTTGAATATTGGAATTTGAACACATCAAACACTGAAGTGCTTGGATTACAAATTTAAAGTATTTAATTATATTATTTCTGATCTAGGTAATTAATTATTGAATTGGTTATTTAAATCATAATAATTAATTGTTTCTTTTTTATAAATAAATTTTAAATTTAATAAAAATATATTCATTTTTAGGAAATTGAAGAATGCGAAGCAGTTGAATTACTTCTGGATTATCTCGACGAGACTTCAGCTTCCCCATTACAAAGAGAATTTGTACAAATTGAAGAACCATATTGTAGTGATGTAAGCATGAAAAATTATTTTTAAATATCAATACATTTTTGGAAGATATTTACCTTTTATTATTAGTTTTATATTTTAGTATTGATTCTTAAATTTAAAAATGTTATAAAAATAATAGAAAATTTTAAATGGCATAAACTTAATGTTTCATAAAAAAAATCATAAAGTTTTATTAAATTAAATCGGAACTTCCATATTATACGAAGACATTACTTCTAGATTTTAGATTGGAAATATAATTTCATCAAGGAAATTCTAAATTAAAAAACATTTTTAGATAATAGAAAATAACTTATTGTAGTGTTTGTGTGCTGACTACACACAAATAATAACTTTCTGTTTAGTTGAATCATGTTTTTACATCAGGCTATTTGACACATAATTAATTAATATAAAACAGTTATTTAGATATGTTAGACTAGATGTTGCTTGTCGGAGAGATTAGTAAAAACAAGTTAGACTCGCGTAACTGGTTATATAACAAAGAAACAAAGAATACACAAAGATTACACTGTCTTGACTCACGGAAGGTCAGTGCTGGAAAGGGGATAGTGAAATGAGGTCACTGTCTCTAACGGCTCCCCGAGGGGTCAATAGCACCACCAACCTTTTATTATATAACGTAAGAACGTTTATAAAACATTGCGACACAATGTGTTGTGCGGCGTAACGATGTTGTATAACATTTGACAATAATTTTGATCCTTGATTCTAACAAGATATAGCTTTAAACTTATATGCATTGTAGAAATTTATTGCCATTTATAGGTTATTAAAAAATTTGTGTTTGTAGTACAGTAGCCCCTCATTATATCACACCTCATTACATTGCTATTCAAATACATTTCACTATTTTTTGTCTTCCAAATATAAAAGTGTTTTAGCCAATAATTTTAAAAAAATTGCTGGCCATTCAATTTCGACTGGCAAAGAAATATTAACGTATTCCAATTATTGACATCGAAACTACTGTATTATTGTATGAATACAAACCACAAAAAAAAGCAAGATGGCATGGAAATTGAAAATAAACAAAATTGGTGGACAGAAACATTGATTATGTTGCGCCATCTGATATATTGCTCGTGTGGTTTGTCTCCCAACATGTGCAATATAACAAGGGGCTACTGTATTTAATTGTTTGTTAAATTAACAAAAATATCATTTATTTATGGTTTCAGGTTTATTCTTATTTACTTTCGTACTCAGAAACACTTCTTATCATGCATTTTGACTGTGTTAGCAAAGCTCAATTAAATAATATTAAATCAAAGTAAGTTTAATATTTATATTTTTTTCTTTAAACTAATTTTAAAATAATTTTGTGTGATTATTTTTACNGGTTTTTTTTTTTATCTTTGTTATACGTCTACTTATAGGATTTTCTAACAATTTAAAAATTTTGCTTAAATTCCTATATCATCATGAATGCAGTGGGCTCTAAGCATTGGAGGGCCCTTTATCTTATTTTCCTCGAGGACTAAAATGTCTAGTTAAATGACTGACTTTGTTCAAAGAGTTTTAATAGAATTACATCTGCTATCTGATAATAAAGAAATGATTTTATTATAATTAATACTTTTAAATTATAAATACAGTATCCTAATATTTTCAGTATATAAATAAAGTATTAGGTTTCTATGTGTAAATGTGTCAAGTACACTAAACAGGATCTTTTATTCTCTGTATCTTCAGAATTAGTTGTCCTTATTATTCATCTATTGCATTTTTATTGTCTTGACACTGATAATTTTTATCTTATTTATTTTTTAATTTACATAAGTAGAATTAGAATTAAATTATTTGTTTTGTTACTATCTTTAAGTCTTAATCATTAATCATTTTAATCACTTTTAGGGTATCTTGGACCAATTAGCAAATCGATGTCTGTCTTCTGGTGCATATGCTTACACTGCGATCGACCACACAACTTATATTGTAAATACTATTGGACCTGAAGGATTTTTGAACTTGCTACCTATTTATATGGATCATTTGCTATATCCACTTCTGACTGTGAGTATTCTTTAGTAAATTTTTATTTCTTTTATCATATGTATTTTTAATATATTATTTAAATTCATAGACATATTTGATCAACAATTTATTATACAGTTCAACCTTTGCTAAGTAGTAAAAATTTTTTCTTATAACTAGCACTTTTGGCTTTTTTTAAATGTTTTTTGAGCTAATGCATGCAAAGAATAACTGAGAATATATGTAGGATGTTAAAAAAAGCATTCAGCACTTATATATTAGGTAACACATGTCATGCTGAGTAAAAATACTAGTAAATACAGATTAAAAATTTAATTGTAAATTGAACTAGTAAATATTGTGATGTTCGTAGCGAAGGTTATATAGTCCCACAAACAGAAAAACATAAAAGAGATGCAAAACAGAAATATTTACGTACCACAGATCAATTTTATTTGCTTTGAACCGGTTCTTAATTTATAGGCGATAATCCACATATATACATTAATCACACGTTTTGGTCTTATCAGTTAGAATGATCGAGTTGTGACAAAAATTTCACGCGAGGAGACTTACAACTATAACTTAATCTACTTACAAACTAAGGAAAGGAGGAAGATAGACGAGTAAGGATAGAAGTAGAGGAAGGAAGAAATACCCAGGAACTCTTAGCCATGTGATCTCGGATGGGTCACTGTTCTGCGATATTCATCTAATTTCTGCTATTCTTATTTTCTCTCTGTCCTCTCAAGATATCTTTTCTGGAGTATCCTCAGAAATCTCTCACTAAGAATCCTTAATTAATTAAAATTAACGGGAGAATTTCGACCTCAGTCACAATAGTCCTTAGCCTCCAATCTCTTTGTTCAAGATTTGGAGTGCTATACAATCCGACCTCACTCACTGGTCTCTCTTTCCAAAACTGCCTTAGCAAGGCTTCGTCGCCTCTGATCTGTCTCTACGCGATCAGGAGAACGACCCTTCTGCCTTCCTCTCTCGACGAAAGTCATTATCTAGATATAGATTTTGATGACGATACTTCTGTTTTAAATCATACAATTTATAAATCTTTCAAAACTCATACAAAAAAAATTTTTGTAAATATTCTCTGTAAACACATATATGTGATGTAATTTATAACTATTATTTGTTTTAATAAAATCTATAGAAAAAAATAAAAACTGAAGAGATGTCATTAAGACCTGAAATGCATAACTACATCCAGTAATAAAGTCAATAAGAGTTTCTTGTGTGATGTAAGTTACTGAAAAAAAGCCAAAAAATTTTAGGCTTAAAAAATCAACAGAAAATTTGTGACTATTAGCTTATTCTGCATGTATAAAAGAAAATAATGAATGATATTTGTCCATTGACCCATATAATTTTGTTGTATGTTAACCAAAACCCATCCCTTGTTTTCAAGACCAAGTTAGCTCCAAGTACAATTTAGTGCCTACCATCTTGTGGAAGTGCTGATCTTATGTCAAATCATAGAGTTTGAAGCTCCTTATGTAATGTACAATTCCCTTTTTTTATAGCTTGTGCTCCCTTTTATAGTCTTCAGGCACCTCTGGACCTTGCAGTATTACCTATTGAATACAAAGAAGCAAATAAAATAATTTAAAATATGTAATTTAAATATCTTTTAAATGTGAAATCTCAGAAAGTAACTGCTTCAAAAACTACACTTTCAATAATACTAATAATGTCACATTAATACTTTTGAATGCAGTATAATTTTAATTATACTCTAACGTTTTCAGTCTTTTTTAACAACCTTCTTCAAGGAAAAAATATACATTCTAAATAGAACAAATGTTGTCAGTATGCAAATTATCAATTTGATTTGAAAGCTAATTTATTAGAACATAATTTACATTATTCTCTAACTGCACTTAACTAATACTCAAACCTCAACAGAAAAATCTTTAAAATGCAGCCTTTTTATTCAAATTTTTGAATGTTTTCGGCCAGTTTGAATGGCCTTTATCAGGAACATAAGAATCAAATGGAAATCAAATAACCTCCCCAAAAAGGAAGGACAAAATCCCACTGAGAATCAACTAAAATAGTCATCTCAGAAACAAAAGGATCAACCGAGTACGGGTACCCCTTTCCTTTCGCTATACTCTGTCTATCTTAATTTTCCTACTCATATCTTTAGGCATTAGTTAGTTTTAAAAAAGAAAAAATTTGTAATAAATATTGTGCCCCTTTTTTATTATTATTGTAAACATGAAAACCTCTCTGTTTGTCGCAGAGGTCCATGTGCTGGACTTTTTGTTTTTAGGCAGAGTTGGACGTATGCCCTAGAGTTGGTATCCGAATCCCTTTTATTGTGCATTATGTTATCTCAATATTGTTGTATTATCACCTTAATGGTGATTGCGCACAACTGCATTTTTCACACATGTGCCAAATGTCTGTTATTTATGATTATTTTTATTGTTATGTTATTATTAATATTAAGTTTAATAGCAATATTCTTATGTTATTAATTTTATTATTATAACATCAAAGTCGGTCAAGGAAGGCCATTAAAAATGACTGAAAACATTTGAGTTATTAAAATTAAAATTATTTTAAACACAGAGCTTCTAACTCAACACTGCAGGCAAAATCTATATTCTCTAGAACCTGTAAACAGCGCGTAATGCATATATATACTATATATCGTGGTTGACAAACATTTTCAAACATTCACGCTGTTCTTCTTCAGGTCAACTGGTTAAGGAATTTTACTGGACAGAGTGTATGTTATTCTGTGGGATCAGGTGTCATTCCGGCAAAGTTGGAATAACTTACACTCCATCCAGTGAAATTCCTTAACCAGTTGACCTGAAGAAGAACAGCGTGAATGTTTGAAAACGTTTGTCAACCGTGATACATAGTATATATACGCATTACGCACCATTTACAGGTTCTAGAGAGTACAGATTAAAATTATTTTATATTAATATTTATTCATTTGTTTCAGATTATTAGAAATTCTTACCAAATTAGCAACTGGAGAGGAAGAGTTTGATATGAAAAGAATCTCGACGATGTTACATAATTTGAAATTAAATACATTAAATAATGTGAGAATTATATATTTTAAATAATAACATGAATAACAAATAAACTTATCAAAATTTAGAGATTAGTGTGTTCCAATTTTTGTTTATGTTTATGTTTCAAATAACTAGAAACAATATGTAAAATGTGATAAGCTAAAATATTTTTACTTTTCCAGCTGTTATATAACAGAGGGTACAACTATATTATAAAATATTAATTACAGATCATTAAAGTTTAAAAATATAATTTTCAATTTAATGAAACATAAACATTTTGTGTAAAATTACAAATAATTATTTTAATTTATATGTAAAATTTAGTTAAATGTATGTTAATATAACTAGATAAAATTTTTTGCTTTTAGATAGAGAAAAAATGTTGTTACAGATTTGCTCATATAGTAACTGTGGATTTTCTTTATGGTAAATCGACAGATGAGGTAAGCTTTTATAATTATCTTTTATTTGAATTAAATATTTAATATACAAAGCAACTCTAAACGTTTTACATTTTTCAAACTAACTGTATTTCAACAAAACTCCACAATAAATATATTAAAAACATAACTGCTTAACTGGAATTTGCATTTCAGTATTTATTAATCCACATCTTCAACTTCTTTAATACTTTCGGGTTCCTTTAACCCTCTTTTGGGGATCTCTTTGTATAAAAATCTTTCTGTCGATACCAAAAAATATAACAAGAATAATTTTAGAATAATTAATATGGAAATGGATGTATGCTATTCTTATTTTTAGCCAATAAAACCAACTAGAGATTATTAACAATATTGTTACGTTGCTCATTATATCCATTTTTAAAAAACCAAGACATCTAAAAATACCTTTTATTGCAATGCATTTCAGATGGGAGACCATATTCTCTTCAGGTAACTGTTTTCTCATAATAATAAAACCACAATCAAAATACAAACATACACAATCAACATAATTTCATACAAAAACTATGACCGATAGAAGCTTCTATTGCTGGGGGTTTTTGTATGAAAGTTGCTCAAGGAGTTGCTCAAGTTAATCATAATTTTAAATTGAAATATTAGTAAAAGGACTTTTGTATATGGAAATCTGTGGAAGATGGTTATTAAAGGAATCTAAAATTGCTAGAGAATTTGAAAATATGATTAATATAAATTTCAGTTAAGTGTGTAATTAATTATATTTTTTATTATAACAGTCAATTTATATTTACTTATTTTTAGTTGGAAAAGAAAATGCAAAGTATTCATCTGTATAATGAATTAGAAAAGAAAGACATGAAATATTGGCAGAATCTTTTAAAGAAATATCTGCTGGTTGAAAATAATGTTACAGTAAGTAAAATTAAATAAACAATTGATATATAATTATTAAATTCCTAATCTTATAACTGTTTGTATTACATATTTAATTGTTTAAAATTTATGATTTTATCATAAATTTGTGAAATTAAAATGAAAATAGTTTAAAAATTATTACACGTGACAAGTGAAAAAAGAATACGATAAACAAGAAATGTATAGATTCTTTATAATGTTTGTTACAGAATTGTCAAGATTTTCTAATATAAATGGATAAAAAATAAATAAATTTTCATTTATATTTTTATAAGTTTTATCTCGTTTATGCTCAAATTACTAATAATCAAATACTTGATTAACAAAGTTAATTAATCCCTCAATGCTATTGCGTATATCAAAATCGTATTAATCAAATACAGTATCTATGTTAAATAAAGACAGCCAGTAAAGCCGCATATATATAGGGACTGCCGCAATTAATTTCCCACATTAATCAAATTCCACATTAAACAAGGGATACCTGTAATTCTTAGTGAGTCAGATTAACTGTCGGACTAGAATGTGTTAATTAATTGGCTCGAATTACTTCATTTAAAATTTAAATCAATCAATACAGTAAATATAAATACAAATAACTATTGAGGAATTTAAAGTTAAAATCAATAGAATTTGATCTTTTTGTTGATGAAACAAATTTGAAAATGTCATTCTATCGTTAATGAATTATTGATAAATTTTGTAAAGATTTTGTTCGTTAAATAACAATTGAAACAGTAAATTAGATTAAAAATTATAATGACAATAATCTTTATTTGCTAAACTAATCATTTAAACAGTTAAATAGTGATTCTATTGCCTTCAATCACCACGCCATTAATTAAGGAGCAAATTTCTTTATTTGTCACTGAATGTGGGAAAATCCCTTCCCACATTTAGTGATTTATAAAAATTATAAACTGTCTTTAAAATTAATTAGATAAATCCTTTCCAACAGTACATTTTAAATCTTAAACAATTTTACATTTTATTACTCATTTAAAGTTTTTATTCTATATTCAGAAAAAATTTAAATTAGAAATAGAATGTAAAATGGGTTTAAGATTTAAAATGTATTGTTGGAAAAGATTTACAGTGGTACCTCAGGATACGAAATTAATCCGTTCCGAAACTGAGATCGTATCATGAAAATGTTGTAAGGTGGATCATCTTTTCCCATACGATTACATGTAAAACCAAGTAATTTGTTCCAACGCGAAAAACATACTCAAATTAAAGCCAAGTAATACATTAAAAAAAAATAACTGTAGTAAGAAAAACAAATGAAAAATGCGAGCTAATGTAATGTCGTATGGTGAGTTTTTGTTCGTATCGTGGAGCAAAAATATGTTCGAATTTAATGTCGTATCCTGAAAATTTCGTATGCTGGGGCGTTCGTAACCTGAGGTACCACTGTATTTGATTTTGAGGATGGTTTACATAAATCAACTGAACAACAACTTGATAATCTGATTAGTTTTAATTAAAGCCAGATGATATGCTGAATTATTAGGTTATAATAAGGCTAAATTAATAATTAAGTATAGATTAAGTTTTATTCCAGAAATTGTAAATTAAAATTAATTATAATGAGCATTTATTTATTGTGACATTGTTACAATGCTAGGCTGAAATTTTTAATCGTATTCTTCATTTAAAATGTATGTTTTCCATCTCAAATTAGTTGCATCTTGTCCCTGTACATCGTACTTTTCTGACAACAACAGAGTTATGCCAGTCATCTATGGTAACTCCATTGAGGTGAAAATTTTTGAATTGAATTCACATGATTTCTGTTCTAGACTGGAAGTTTGTATAGTTTATCGGGGCCTCCTGCCCTTAAGCTTTCCTTATCTGGTCTCGACGTTCATGGACTATTCTTATTTTGGTAAAAACTGGTAAACATTTCTACCAAAATTAGAAGAGTCCATTTTAAGATGTTCTTTCTCCCTTTCCACTTTTAATTTACTGGATTGTATACATTATCATACTTCCTGATAATGATGCATTGAAAGCCTTTATACCTTATTTTTAATCAGTTTTTATTGGTTTTAAAATTTCTATGTTTTAACGAAAATAGTTTATTTTTACAATATTACTTGTTCTATCCAATGGTTTTAATAATTAATTATTCCAGTTATCACTATAATTATTTTTAGTTTTATCGATGCATTTAATAAAATAAGGACTGAAGAGGGGCGTAAAGCCCGAAATGAACATCTGTTGTAAATTATAGAAAATAAAAATCTCTTTCCATCAAGAGTTCCTGTGTGATTTGTTCTCAATAGCAAAGTTCCAAAGAACATACAACTAATTGAGAGAACAGCAAGGAATCAAGTACTAATGCATTTATTCTGTTATAAGCCAACACTGATTGTAAGCTGACCCGAAGAAATGAAAATAAATAAAATTGAAAATTCATTAACCAAGCATAAAGAATAAATTTTACACCATTTAATTGTTCAGTCACTGTCATTAGATGACTCAGATTCATCACCACTTGATTCTTTGTTGTTATCTTGATACAGAACATCAAGATGATGCTCTGTACCAAGATAGTGTGTCTGTATGCCATATTAGATTTAAGTTTAGTTTGTAGGCTTTAGCATATTTCCTTTGTTTTTTGTCCTTTCCAATTACTTTTCCCCCTTGGAGGTGAGGGCCACTTCCTGGAATTGTCAAACAATGAATGCGAAGTTTCCTGAGGGCACACATGGGGAGAAAGAGTTACTTTTTGGCTGTTCTTTGTACAGCGAGGACGAAAAGGAGAAGAAGGAGAGTTGTTGCGTATTCAAGAGATGAATAAAGCCAATTTAGAAGAAGAGAGGCCCTGAAAATCTTCGACCGGTGTTGCGGTGGTAAAGTTGGTGTCTCAGCTTGCCGAGTTTCAGACTCAGATGGACAAACAATGGCTTAGATTAGAAATTTATCAAAATCGTCTTGGAAAAGTAAATAGAAATGCAAATTATGCCCAAGGATGTTTCCACTTGCTCTCTCATGACAGTAGAAAGTTGTTTGTACAACCCGGATCCTTTATTCTATTATGTCTGCCACCTTTGATCCTTCTCATCCCCTATTGTCTGTTTTCTGTGTTCCTTTAGTGTAAATTAGTTTTAAAAATTAGTTATAAAGAAATTTTTAGGTAATACATAATCAAAACTTCTTTGTATGCACCATGACATTTTGTAATTATCTGGTCGACGATCATGTTTTGGGTTACTGCCAGAGTATCAATTCTAGAGTTGGCATATATAACTGATCCTGTACATGGTTATATCACACAAATTAAATTGTGTTTTTAACATTTACTGTGCATGTTTTTTTTTTTTCTTCAGTTTTTGCCTTAGTAAGCTAACAAAAGCCCATTCATATCTCACAATAGTAATGACACAGAAGATCTTGGACAAGAGCATCAAGATGATGCTCTGTGCCAAGATATTCTGCGTCATCTTGTTTAAAAGTATTCGATCTCAAATGCACTTGATGGCACAGAAGTGTTAAACTGTTTAATAATATAGAGAGATAAAACCCATAATTATTTAATATTTAGAGTAAAAGAAAGAGCTTTACAGTAATATATTTAGTATCAGCATAAAAGTGTCATTAAAAAATTGCCGAAATAATATAATTAATTTAATCATTAATTCCTCAAAACAGATTTGATTTACTTAAAACAGTTGTGTAATGATTCTCCATTTCTGATATATTACAGAAGAAATTTAATAATTATAGAAATTGATATTGATATTTATAAAAATTATATTTAATAAATTTAAATTAAATTAAAATAATTTTATGTTATAGATTATTGGAGAACCTAGACCTGAATTAAAAGAAAAATCGATGAAAGATGAAGAATTGAGAATTTCTAAGCAAAAAGAAATTTTAGGAGAAGAAGGTTTGAAAGCTAAAGAAGAATTACTCCAAGCTGCAAAGAAAAAGAATGATGTTAGTATTATAAAAATAGTATTATAAAGTATTTAAGTAAAGTAAGTTTTAAGTAAGTGTAAAGTATACATTTAATTTGGAGAATAGAGCTAGAATTTATATTACTACAGTGTTTAGCTTTTGGAAATTTGTCCTTTTTAAAATATTTTCTCTCAAATAATATGTAGTTTTATTATTATTACACTCATGCATCAAAGACCTATGGATCTAACTTTTTGAATGGTTTCAAAATGCAATTGTAGCTCCGTGAGAATCTTAACCTTCTTGGAAGTGCTTTTCATTTAAAATTTTCTTTAAATTCAACAATAGAAAACCACATCAAGCTGAGTCAAATGGATGAGGATGTGGCAACTAGCAAGTGCTCTGAACCATTTTTATGATTATTGACTGTACAGGATTGGCCATATGAGGACGGACATTATCGTATTAAAGAAACTGTTTCATTTCAGAAGTTCAAAAATTTGGTCAAATAGATTAACAAAACTTTATCCTAAAAAATTCAGTTCATATTTTATTATTCATGCTTGTGTTATGTTACAGAAAATGCATGAACAAATCAGGAACTAGGTGGGGTCCTGTCAATTATGTTTTCTGTTTTATGTTTCCTTTGAAATAAGTTTTAATAATATTGAAAGTTTTTTGTGATAACTCTAGCAACAAATGTTGGAACTAACGTCAATATGCTTTTCAAGACTATACGCTTCCTGCCTAAATTAGATGGTGCTACAGTAAAGCGTCATCTTGCAGTGGAAATTTGAAAAACGTAGCTACAACACGTGTACTTACATAGGTGCAATTAACATAGTTTTAAGAAAAAATTTTATTTCCTGTCACTTTTGAGGATGATGTTTTTGTAGAAAATCCATTAGAACAGGGAAAAATTAAAATAAACAGGACATTTTCATAATGTTATTCAAAATATTCAAAAATATACAGCTTTTGGTAAATATATTCCACAAATGCACATACCGTACATAAATCTAGCTAACAAATACCACTACAAGTTGTCCAAAGGAAAGTTAATCATCCATATTACATCTCTTTTGATCCTTTTTAAAAATATAAAATTTAATTTTATAATATATGATTTATGTTTAAAATAAAAATATTAATGCAAAAATTTTTAAAATCTCTTTAATGTTTATTGCAAAAGAAAAAAAGTACATGCAAGATTTGCTGTCATTAACATAGGACGCAAGGGAACTGATGAAAGAATCGACATAAACATATTAACTTAATGGCCATATATTATTTTTTCAGCTTAATAATCAATAGAAAATGATTAATGCTTTTTGCTCATGCAGGACAGGACTTCTTGATAGATGCAAGCATGCAGCATGGCTTACTTTTTATTAGTAAAGAAGGAAAAAATAGAATCAAGAACAAGTTTACCACAAGCTTAGAATAAACCAGCAACTTTAAAAAAAGGAAGAATACAAACAAACAATAAGGCTTAGCTAGATATTTTACAACAAGAAAAAGATATAGGAAAACAAACCAACACATATCTTCAGCTGATCCAAACAGAGCCGGCCCTACCACAGGGCGTGCGGAGCAGTTGCTCCTGGCGCTAAGTCCTACGGGACGCCTCAGTGGTAAAGAAAATTAAAGGGTATAAATTAGGGGCAACCAAGGGGGCACCATAATAGGATCACGCTCCATCCTAAAACTTGCCTCAGGCCGGCTGTGGATCCAAACATAATATACTGATAGAAAACTATAGATATTATCTGCTCAATGAAGAATGCATTGCTGAGAAATGCCATGGTTATGCCTGTTCTCCAAATGGCATTATCAGAGACAGTTTCAAACATTACTGTTTATTGGAAATAAAATAACCATCAAAATTTAGGAATGCTTTTATAATTAATGAAGATAAACAAATAAAAGTAAAGCCTCCGTACAGCATTAATCTATGCATTTCTTCTAATTTCATCATTCTATAACTTTCTTCTATTTTTTCATTCGGAAATTATAAGCTCATAATTTTCTGTCTCGGCTTATACAATATTTAACATAAATTGCTGATAAAACAACAGTTAAGAGAAGGCAAAGACATGAATGAAAATGAAAAAAACTCTCTAATATCCCAAATAATTGCCGTATTAAATTGTCTATTTGGCCTAATTGCTAATTGAGGACACTGAAGGCATCCCCAGTCAACGCGATAAGTAACTAAGGATAGTTAGATCATAATTATGCCTGGAAGGGGAGATAGATCTGGACATCCAAGTTGCGTAACTGGTAATGCATTCGCATGGTAAGCAGGAGTTGCAGGTTCAAGTCCAGCTCCATGCTANCCAAAAAATATAACAAGAATAATTTTAGAATAATTAATATGGAAATGGATGTATGCTATTCTTATTTTTAGCCAATAAAACCAACTAGAGATTATTAACAATATTGTTACGTTGCTCATTATATCCATTTTTAAAAAACCAAGACATCTAAAAATACCTTTTATTGCAATGCATTTCAGATGGGAGACCATATTCTCTTCAGGTAACTGTTTTCTCATAATAATAAAACCACAATCAAAATACAAACATACACAATCAACATAATTTCATACAAAAACTATGACCGATAGAAGCTTCTATTGCTGGGGGTTTTTGTATGAAAGTTGCTCAAGGAGTTGCTCAAGTTAATCATAATTTTAAATTGAAATATTAGTAAAAGGACTTTTGTATATGGAAATCTGTGGAAGATGGTTATTAAAGGAATCTAAAATTGCTAGAGAATTTGAAAATATGATTAATATAAATTTCAGTTAAGTGTGTAATTAATTATATTTTTTATTATAACAGTCAATTTATATTTACTTATTTTTAGTTGGAAAAGAAAATGCAAAGTATTCATCTGTATAATGAATTAGAAAAGAAAGACATGAAATATTGGCAGAATCTTTTAAAGAAATATCTGCTGGTTGAAAATAATGTTACAGTAAGTAAAATTAAATAAACAATTGATATATAATTATTAAATTTAATAAGAGATGATGTCTAATGTCTGCCTTTATTATTTTGAAATTAATTAAAAATAATTATGGTGAAGTAGTCCAATTTAATGCAACAGTCATTTGGCATATTATGTAGAGAATTGCTCTTAAAATTAATTGCAAAATTTCACATTGTATCATTTCTAATCATCATTATCATTTATGAGGCTCCCTTGGTGAATGCTTGATTTACTTATATGTTAAAATGCCCCTGAGAAAATGTGTAAGAATACTTATGTCAAAATACTAAGTGCAGCTAACTGAAAAGGTTTAAGATTCTTTGATCTTGGTGATTTCATTTACTGGGTCATAATAACAAATCTATGTCTCATCATACTTTGATACTCAATTTAAGAATTCTTGGTTTTCCTTTTTAACTGATCGAGCATTTGCACTCAAGGATCAAGCGTGTGTAATCCAGAATTTAGATTTGCAATCTGTTTAGATGATTGACAATGATGCAAACATTACTATAATAAGGTTTGGTGTTCATTCCTTTAGAATATAATTACTATAATAAATACACACTTTAACTGCCAACTTATGAAGAGTGATTTGTCTATTTTATCCAAAACTTCTTGAATTCATTCAGTTTTCTCAGAGAATAGCTGACAGTTCTTTGATTTTCAGCAACAGATTCTCAATCTGCATTAAATTGTTTGTCCTACTTAAATATTACAGTAGACTTTCTTAAATTTAATAAACTTTCTTGGACGTATCACAAGCTTCACTTATTTCTTGCATTGTTTCTGGAGATAGTCAAACTATTTCTGACACAATATTATTATTTAGTAAGTTTAAAATGACTTGTTTCTTCTCTTCAAACAATTGCCACTAACATGCACTAGAAAATTGCTACATTCTGTTGGCAGTTGTTTGAAATTTGTCTACTAGAAGCCTAGCAGTCAAAGAAATAACATTATTCTGCAAATTAAATAATCAACCTTTCTGTTTTAAATGAATTTTTATAATTTATTGTTGATCGGATAGTTCAAGTTTATATTATACATGATAGCGACTGTTACGTTGCGATTTTCCAAATACAAAATATATAAATTTACCAGTATAAAAATTCTAGATGATATAATGGATATAAACGATTTATACTGGTAAATTTATATAGCATTAATAACAATTAACATGCAGGATATAAATTCATAAATGAATCTTTTGCCAATGTTCCTTTTTAAATTTTATTTACTTGATCATATTAATAACTTCTTGTTCAAATTCCAGATAAAACCTCCAAAGGAATTACTTCAGTCAATACCTATTCCTTCATTTGATAAAGTAGAATTTCAATCTATTAGAAGATTAACTAATTGTAAGGAAGATCCAACTTTCGATCAAATGTTACAGGAAATGCCATGTTCTTTTCATCTTGATGACGTAAACACAAAATTTGTAACAGTAAGTAACTTATGAGTTGTAAGGCTACTGCTATTTTGATTTCAGAACTATTTACCAATCTTTGTATTTAATGTTAATAGATTTAAAATTTATTATAATTTTCATTGTAGAATAAGTTTTGAATATTTTTTAAAATTAAAATAAAGGAGGGAGAATTTCAGATTCCTCGGACGATCCAAGCTATTTTGAAAAGAGCTAAAAGTACAGNACAATACCAAGTGAATAGCATGATGTCACACCACACATGCAAGATATAAAATTTAAATGGGACTTATTAACCAAGATAAAAGTTTTCTCATTTGTCCTACATAATCAATATTTTACTGTATTAATATAATAATTTAATTCAGTTTATTCAGTTTACAATTTTTAATATTATATAATATCTCTTTAAAGGCATAAAATAATGGACCCTTCCGAATATTTATTTCCACTACCGACTCAGAGTTGTATTACAGCCGTTGGATCTGCAGATTCGTCGTTCTTGATTCAGGCAACAAGATGCATAAATTCGTGTAAACATCCAGATTATCCTGCATTATCAGTTTTATTAAAATATCTCAACCAAGCAGAGGTAATATATAAAATGATATGTTTATAAATTAAGCAAAATTAAAAATATATTAAATGTTTAGGGTCCGCTGTGGCGTATAATAAGAGGCTTGGGACGATCCTATTATTTTGGAATTACGTTGCACGTAGATTATGGATTGATCACTTTTGATTTATATCACTGTGCTGCTATGGTTACTGCATTTAAAGAAACAAAAAAGTACATTGTGAGTAGTCGTCATAATAATAATATCTTGTTTCTTATTGTTCTTGATAAGTGCTTAAAAATATTTTTTATTTATAAATTTTAGGATGATCTTTTAAATGGAAAAGAAGAATGGGATCAGTTGTTATTGGAAAGTAGTCGTAGTTCTCTGGTGTATGATATTATTGCGCGAAATGAGGAATCTGTACAAAATATTGCATTTCGTTCTTTGATTTGTTATTATAGAGATACTGATTTGGATTTTACACGGTAATATATTTAAAATTTATTATAATTTTCATTGTAGAATAAGTTTTGAATATTTTTTAAAATTAAAATAAAGGAGGGAGAATTTCAGATTCCTCGGACGATCCAAGCTATTTTGAAAAGAGCTAAAAGTTTAGTTTTTAAATTGCAATTTTGAATTCTTTACAAAAGCTATTATAGAATTGTAAAATTAAGATATATTTCAGTTGATATTAACACAGAATTTTCTAAAAAGAAATTTATTATATGTGCTACATATATTCCTCACTTAATGACCTATCTGTTTAATAACTATTCAGACTTATGACAGATCTTCAGTGCAGGGAATTCCCGTTTTTAATATTAGTCTAGTTCTTGCTGTTGACCTGTAGTGCTCTGCAACTATGGGTATATATTATTGTTTCGTTTTGTCTGTATCAGGTCTTAATTGTTACACGTTAATAAATGTTACCGGTTATCACATACTGCCCTTTGTACTTCGTACGCCTTGAACGCACTTATTGGCTAATGAGGAGTCACGTGTGTGCCTGAGTCCCCGGATGGAGGGAGGTTTAAAAAGGGGGTAAGACAAGTAGAAAGGATCTTTTGTTCTTTTTGGTCTGGAAAGGAGAAGTGTTGGATCTCTCAGGCAACTAAGGGACAAAGGAAGGGCTGTAGTAGACCGACAAGTGGAATGAAATGAAGCGGAAAAAAGGAATGAAATAAAAGTGGAATTCCTGATCGCACCGAGGATTAAATGTGGGGAAAGTGGACCAAGAGCTATAAGAGAAGGTTTAGACGTTGAGCGGTAAGGACGTATTTTCGTGAAGGTCTCAAGTTAACTTTGAATCGTCAAGAAGAACAAAAGAGCCAGTAGGCCTAAAGTAGCAGACACTGACGAGAGCCCTAGAGTAGAGAAGAGCCCTAGTAGTATTCTAACATGAGAACCCCTTCGAAAGTTTAATGGGGAAACCAGAAAAGGGAATAGAAAATTTGAACACTATGTACATCGGACTTTGTGCCGTCCAGCAGAAAGAAGATCTAAATTACGACTGCGATCACAAGGCCACTAGCTAAGTCGGGTACCCATTCACAATCAAATCTATCCTATCAACTAATCCTTCCATCTTTCCCTCTAGAATAAGTAGTTCTTAGATAATTAGTTATAAGTTTTTTTTTCGTGTTTAATCTTGTAACACCGCGAATTTTCAGTCATTCCTTTGTCATGCAAATTCGGGTTAACGATTCTGTCCGAGTGTTAACATTTTTAACCTTTTGTCCAAGGAGTGTTGAAATCCAAATGAAAATCCTGTAAAATTATTGAATACTAGTAAAAAAAAATAAAGAAATTCTTTTGTTTCATTATATCTCTTTGTTTGACTCCCTTTTCATCACGTGCATATACAACAAAACATAGTACGTGGTGAAGGACTACTAAATCTTATTCGTGCGTGAGGACCGTTGTCTCAACACATGGTTACTTTGCCTTTATTAATGGAGTAAGAGAGAGATAGCTCCTTTTCTAACAAGTGTTCATTAATGATCTACAAAGGGTATCATCTGTAAATATTGTTGTAAATTCATCATTGTACATTACTTAAGTTTTAGGTTAAGTTAGTGAATTGTATATTCATCTAGGTTAAGTTAATTTATGAATAAAATTACGTTAAACCTCTTATTTGTGACGTCCTCAAATTATTCTTATCCCAACCTTAAGTCGGGATTTGTTTCGACAGTCTCCGATACTACAGACCAGTATTCACTACACAAAGCATTTGCAATCTCCAAGACTGCATATTTTATTTATAAATTTGTACTTTATTGTGCATAACATTTAAAGGATTCAATGACAAAAATATTAATCTAGACCAAGATCTGCACCAGCAGGCTAAGGTGGGCTTGTGCCTGACACCTTCAACACACACCTCTTCAATCCTCTCACTTGCTGCGTCATAACTTCACACTGCCGCGGCAGCTGGGTATGGGATTTTGACGCTGGAGAACCTTCTATTTTTAGGGCTAATAGGTGGTAATATTAATATGAATGTATTGATTGCATTTTTATCTTCTGTAATAGATAAGAAATACTAATTAAAACAAAGTTATCAAGATGGAGTTTTATGTAGACCTTTTCTTTATTTAGAATAAATAAAAACAATTAAGCTCCTCATTTAATGAACAGCGTGCTTATCGTAGGAACAAAACTCGATCGTTAAGTGAGGAGCGCCCATATAGAAATATAAGTGACTGCCAAATTATTATTAATAAATTCTTTAGATGATATCAATACATTTATTGTTAAATATAAATTTCGGAACTTTTAAATCAAATATTAAAATTCACTATCTTATTTTCAGATGTGGATGATAATGGATACGGCTTCGATTCCACTGAAATTACGTTATTACCTTCCGCTTTTTTTAAAATTGATAATGGAATTACCCGTTGAGAGAAATGGGAGTAAGTTTATTCCTTTTATTTTTATTATATTATAGTTTTTAAAATTAACAGTTAGAATACTTACAAGCAACTAATATTTGAAACAGCAATACTTTTTCAGAAATTTTATAAAAATCATTATTCTAATTTCAAAGTAATTATTTTGTTTATTTATTAAATTTTTTATGTTAGAATTAATACCCTATGAAGAAGTTGTCACTGAACTGAATGCCGATATTCTGGAGAAATCATATATTATTGGAATTATTGGATGCTCTGTTTATGATCCTAGACTCTTTGCTCAACTGATCACTTTATATTTTAAAGTAATTATTATTTTCATATTTGTCATTGACAATTTTAGTTTAATAAATAACGATTTTTATTATCATAGGTAGAAGAAGAAAAGTATCAAAAAGGGATTCAGTGGATTCACGAATTGCTCTACAAAACCAAATTTACTGCGGACCGTATTCAAGTTTATGTTAAAAGGATGCTAAAAAGAATTACCAGATGTAAAGAACTTGGATTTTGCGTAATGCGTTGTCTTGAAAGTAACATCATGTTCAAAGAAGACAGTAATCAAGCATGCTGTAGTATGTTAAAACAAAACACTTTTCTTAAAAAAGTCCAGAAACTTCTGGAATTAAATCCAGATGAGGTAAGTGTTTCATAATTACATAATAATAGAAGTTTTAAATTGATTGCATACCTTATTAATCAATAAAATGTTCTTAAAAATATGAAATTTTGTTAACTACTATCGTTTATTTACCGCGTTCTTAGTGGAAATATATTTCATATTCATCTATAAACTGTTACCTCTTTCTATGCAGTATTTCCTGCATAAATTCCAATTATTTATAATTTTTCAATTTTTCTTAATGAATTTTCAACCAAAAAATGATTCCATAGTTTTATAATGATACCAGTTATCATGACATTTATTGCATAGTAAAAACATCATCTCTGTTTTATTGCATATGTGAGATTTATTGATTTTTCTATGAGGCACAATAGATATGATTTCAGTGTCAGTTTCTTACATAATTTTAATCTGAAATTATGCAAAAGAAATGAGTTTGCAGTGGTTTATTAAAAATAAACAAAATTTTGATTTTATTTAAAATGTAACTTAATGTATAATCATCAGAGAATTACGTGAAGTAAGTCACTTAACATTTCTCAATATAGTTAACTCTGTTAGCAGTATTAAATTAAATTTAATCCTTCTTAACTATTAAACCAGCTTAAAAACACCAGTGCGAAAGGGGTATTACATTCAAAAAGTTATATATGAACAGTTGTTCTGTTCAAATTGTCAAAATATTGAATGTTGTTGATCTGAACACGAGATTGAGAATCTCAAAAAGTATTTAATCAGAATAAATATCTTGAATCCTTTAATCCTTTCAAGTTTCTTTTCTTACATATATAACAATATTCTTTTATACTTTTAAATGGTCTTCATGTTAAAATTATCATCCTTCTTTCAAATACTTTTTGAGGATATTGTGATGCAAAAAGTTAGGGGGAAATGCTTATGCTGTTATAAAGGATGACTCGTGTATTTTTTTTTTTTTTATATGTTACTTGCAGTACTGTGAATATATTTATTAAAATATGAAAAAGTTTTAATAGTTAACATTATTTTCAGGTTATCAATGATTTAGAGGAACTAAGAAGCAAGTTGATACAACCTGATAATATTCTAGTACATATGACAGCTAATCTAAACAGTCTTGGAGAAAATTCACTTTCTCATTGGAAGAATTTAATGGAAAGTCCTGCAATAAAGCCATTTTTAAGGTAATTGTGAAATGAATATTACTCTATAATTGATAGGTGAATGAGTATCGCAACTTCGTCAGAGAATTATAACTTCAGTGTTTTCTTATTTCAACATTTTTTTGTGTAGTAAAGTTAAAAATAAAATTTTTGGCACAAATTTTATTACAAAACACAAACTCTTGCACCAAACCATTTTCAAAATAAACTCCTAATGTAGCTACACACTTATGCATGTATTCATACCAGTTGTTCACACTAAGAGATCCAGGACTGACTGCGTGTTGTTTTTATAGGCTTCGTTACTGGTTGAAATTTATAACCCTTCAAATTCTGTTCATTTTAGCAAACAAGCAAAAGTCTCCAGAGAAAAGAACAAGAGTTATCCTTCTTGGTGAGATATTCATTAACCAGGAACAATGAAACTGGAACAATGATTTCAGGATTGCCTTAACAAGTGGTATGGTTTTCAGGCTGAAATGTGTAGCTGCTTATTTTGAAGATGACTGACAAAATATTTGATGGAATAAGGCAATGAAAAACATGGGCAATCTGCCAAGGGGGATGCCTCCCAGGAGGACTTTCTATGGGAAACTGACCCTTATTTAGGTATCTGATATGTGAAAAAAATATAAGAATTTCATACAACCTGCCTATTGATCAGGCACAAAACTGATAACAACTACCAGTTTCATTGGTTTTATTGACTCAGCCACTGTTGAACTGTCTTCTGTGAATATTTGTACTATTAACATAATGAAAGTTATATATTAAAAGTTCAGTTTATCTTTGACTCTACCATATATTCTTAAAAGGTGGTAATGTTAAAATATGATTCTAATTCTCTCAAAAATAGTGTGTCATCATCATCTCATTTTATGGACATTAAGTGGTCTTTTAAGTGTGCCCATCATAACTTAGGTAAGGTTTACAACATATGGTCATATGGTGGAAAACAAGCAGGTCCTCACACAAAAACTCCTGAAGATCTGACTTGGATTCACATCTAGTTCTTCAGAGTGATAGTCATACAACTTATTTACTTTCGCTATTCAGCCATTGATGCTAAATTAATTTTTTTATGTTTTTTACATTGAAGTAGTAATAATTTTTGATTATTGAAGTTAAAATTTTTGTTGCATAATTTACATTTCTCAATGTTAACAAAATAGAAACGATTTTTTTTTTAACTAACTCTTTCCACCCTATAGGTACTAAGAGTACCCACAGTGTGGAATGAGTCTTTTTAGCACACTCATTATGTGTTCAGCAAGGAAAGTATTACAAATTCTTACAAAAAAATATACAGTTCTCTGCTTGTTTGAAGATCAAAACAAAAAATTTCCAGTAAATTCCTAGGAATATTAAAACCGTTGTGACAGAAGTGCAACAGGTCCTAGCATTATATATTGTAAACACACGTTCCTACATATCATTTACTAGCTTCCATTTTCTGCCAGACAAATTATGTAATTGCATCCATTCCTTTTTCCTGCCAATTACAAAAAGAACTATCTGCGTAATTTATGGTTATGTTGCCAAACACATCAATACAAATAAATAGGGACAATACAAAAAAACCGAGAAAATTGTTGACATGTTTATTGAGGTCAACAGTTCAAACTGGTACACTATAAAACCAAACAATACCAAGTGAATAGCATGATGTCACACCACACATGCAAGATATAAAATTTAAATGGGACTTATTAACCAAGATAAAAGTTTTCTCATTTGTCCTACATAATCAATATTTTACTGTATTAATATAATAATTTAATTCAGTTTATTCAGTTTACAATTNTATAGAAATATAAGTGACTGCCAAATTATTATTAATAAATTCTTTAGATGATATCAATACATTTATTGTTAAATATAAATTTCGGAACTTTTAAATCAAATATTAAAATTCACTATCTTATTTTCAGATGTGGATGATAATGGATACGACTTCGATTCCACTGAAATTACGTTATTACCTTCCGCTTTTTTTAAAATTGATAATGGAATTACCCGTTGAGAGAAATGGGAGTAAGTTTATTCCTTTTATTTTTATTATATTATAGTTTTTAAAATTAACAGTTAGAATACTTACAAGCAACTAATATTTGAAACAGCAATACTTTTTCAGAAATTTTATAAAAATCATTATTCTAATTTCAAAGTAATTATTTTGTTTATTTATTAAATTTTTTATGTTAGAATTAATACCCTATGAAGAAGTTGTCACTGAACTGAATGCCGATATTCTGGAGAAATCATATATTATTGGAATTATTGGATGCTCTGTTTATGATCCTAGACTCTTTGCTCAACTGATCACTTTATATTTTAAAGTAATTATTATTTTCATATTTGTCATTGACAATTTTAGTTTAATAAATAACGATTTTTATTATCATAGGTAGAAGAAGAAAAGTATCAAAAAGGGATTCAGTGGATTCACGAATTGCTCTACAAAACCAAATTTACTGCGGACCGTATTCAAGTTTATGTTAAAAGGATGCTAAAAAGAATTACCAGATGTAAAGAACTTGGATTTTGCGTAATGCGTTGTCTTGAAAGTAACATCATGTTCAAAGAAGACAGTAATCAAGCATGCTGTAGTATGTTAAAACAAAACACTTTTCTTAAAAAAGTCCAGAAACTTCTGGAATTAAATCCAGATGAGGTAAGTGTTTCATAATTACATAATAATAGAAGTTTTAAATTGATTGCATACCTTATTAATCAATAAAATGTTCTTAAAAATATGAAATTTTGTTAACTACTATCGTTTATTTACCGCGTTCTTAGTGGAAATATATTTCATATTCATCTATAAACTGTTACCTCTTTCTATGCAGTATTTCCTGCATAAATTCCAATTATTTATAATTTTTCAATTTTTCTTAATGAATTTTCAACCAAAAAATGATTCCATAGTTTTATAATGATACCAGTTATCATGACATTTATTGCATAGTAAAAACATCATCTCTGTTTTATTGCATATGTGAGATTTATTGATTTTTCTATGAGGCACAATAGATATGATTTCAGTGTCAGTTTCTTACATAATTTTAATCTGAAATTATGCAAAAGAAATGAGTTTGCAGTGGTTTATTAAAAATAAACAAAATTTTGATTTTATTTAAAATGTAACTTAATGTATAATCATCAGAGAATTACGTGAAGTAAGTCACTTAACATTTCTCAATATAGTTAACTCTGTTAGCAGTATTAAATTAAATTTAATCCTTCTTAACTATTAAACCAGCTTAAAAACACCAGTGCGAAAGGGGTATTACATTCAAAAAGTTATATATGAACAGTTGTTCTGTTCAAATTGTCAAAATATTGAATGTTGTTGATCTGAACACGAGATTGAGAATCTCAAAAAGTATTTAATCAGAATAAATATCTTGAATCCTTTAATCCTTTCAAGTTTCTTTTCTTACATATATAACAATATTCTTTTATACTTTTAAATGGTCTTCATGTTAAAATTATCATCCTTCTTTCAAATACTTTTTGAGGATATTGTGATGCAAAAAGTTAGGGGGAAATGCTTATGCTGTTATAAAGGATGACTCGTGTATTTTTTTTTTTTTTATATGTTACTTGCAGTACTGTGAATATATTTATTAAAATATGAAAAAGTTTTAATAGTTAACATTATTTTCAGGTTATCAATGATTTAGAGGAACTAAGAAGCAAGTTGATACAACCTGATAATATTCTAGTACATATGACAGCTAATCTAAACAGTCTTGGAGAAAATTCACTTTCTCATTGGAAGAATTTAATGGAAAGTCCTGCAATAAAGCCATTTTTAAGGTAATTGTGAAATGAATATTACTCTATAATTGATAGGTGAATGAGTATCGCAACTTCGTCAGAGAATTATAACTTCAGTGTTTTCTTATTTCAACATTTTTTTGTGTAGTAAAGTTAAAAATAAAATTTTTGGCACAAATTTTATTACAAAACACAAACTCTTGCACCAAACCATTTTCAAAATAAACTCCTAATGTAGCTACACACTTATGCATGTATTCATACCAGTTGTTCACACTAAGAGATCCAGGACTGACTGCGTGTTGTTTTTATAGGCTTCGTTACTGGTTGAAATTTATAACCCTTCAAATTCTGTTCATTTTAGCAAACAAGCAAAAGTCTCCAGAGAAAAGAACAAGAGTTATCCTTCTTGGTGAGATATTCATTAACCAGGAACAATGAAACTGGAACAATGATTTCAGGATTGCCTTAACAAGTGGTATGGTTTTCAGGCTGAAATGTGTAGCTGCTTATTTTGAAGATGACTGACAAAATATTTGATGGAATAAGGCAATGAAAAACATGGGCAATCTGCCAAGGGGGATGCCTCCCAGGAGGACTTTCTATGGGAAACTGACCCTTATTTAGGTATCTGATATGTGAAAAAAATATAAGAATTTCATACAACCTGCCTATTGATCAGGCACAAAACTGATAACAACTACCAGTTTCATTGGTTTTATTGACTCAGCCACTGTTGAACTGTCTTCTGTGAATATTTGTACTATTAACATAATGAAAGTTATATATTAAAAGTTCAGTTTATCTTTGACTCTACCATATATTCTTAAAAGGTGGTAATGTTAAAATATGATTCTAATTCTCTCAAAAATAGTGTGTCATCATCATCTCATTTTATGGACATTAAGTGGTCTTTTAAGTGTGCCCATCATAACTTAGGTAAGGTTTACAACATATGGTCATATGGTGGAAAACAAGCAGGTCCTCACACAAAAACTCCTGAAGATCTGACTTGGATTCACATCTAGTTCTTCAGAGTGATAGTCATACAACTTATTTACTTTCGCTATTCAGCCATTGATGCTAAATTAATTTTTTTATGTTTTTTACATTGAAGTAGTAATAATTTTTGATTATTGAAGTTAAAATTTTTGTTGCATAATTTACATTTCTCAATGTTAACAAAATAGAAACGATTTTTTTTTTAACTAACTCTTTCCACCCTATAGGTACTAAGAGTACCCACAGTGTGGAATGAGTCTTTTTAGCACACTCATTATGTGTTCAGCAAGGAAAGTATTACAAATTCTTACAAAAAAATATACAGTTCTCTGCTTGTTTGAAGATCAAAACAAAAAATTTCCAGTAAATTCCTAGGAATATTAAAACCGTTGTGACAGAAGTGCAACAGGTCCTAGCATTATATATTGTAAACACACGTTCCTACATATCATTTACTAGCTTCCATTTTCTGCCAGACAAATTATGTAATTGCATCCATTCCTTTTTCCTGCCAATTACAAAAAGAACTATCTGCGTAATTTATGGTTATGTTGCCAAACACATCAATACAAATAAATAGGGACAATACAAAAAAACCGAGAAAATTGTTGACATGTTTATTGAGGTCAACAGTTCAAACTGGTACACTATAAAACCAAACAATACCAAGTGAATAGCATGATGTCACACCACACATGCAAGATATAAAATTTAAATGGGACTTATTAACCAAGATAAAAGTTTTCTCATTTGTCCTACATAATCAATATTTTACTGTATTAATATAATAATTTAATTCAGTTTATTCAGTTTACAATTTTTAATATTATATAATATCTCTTTAAAGGCATAAAATAATGGACCCTTCCGAATATTTATTTCCACTACCGACTCAGAGTTGTATTACAGCCGTTGGATCTGCAGATTCGTCGTTCTTGATTCAGGCAACAAGATGCATAAATTCGTGTAAACATCCAGATTATCCTGCATTATCAGTTTTATTAAAATATCTCAACCAAGCAGAGGTAATATATAAAATGATATGTTTATAAATTAAGCAAAATTAAAAATATATTAAATGTTTAGGGTCCGCTGTGGCGTATAATAAGAGGCTTGGGACGATCCTATTATTTTGGAATTACGTTGCACGTAGATTATGGATTGATCACTTTTGATTTATATCACTGTGCTGCTATGGTTACTGCATTTAAAGAAACAAAAAAGTACATTGTGAGTAGTCGTCATAATAATAATATCTTGTTTCTTATTGTTCTTGATAAGTGCTTAAAAATATTTTTTATTTATAAATTTTAGGATGATCTTTTAAATGGAAAAGAAGAATGGGATCAGTTGTTATTGGAAAGTAGTCGTAGTTCTCTGGTGTATGATATTATTGCGCGAAATGAGGAATCTGTACAAAATATTGCATTTCGTTCTTTGATTTGTTATTATAGAGATACTGATTTGGATTTTACACGGTAATATATTTAAAATTTATTAAATTAAGCAATGATTTATTTACATTTTTTTTCACTTGTAAAGCTTTATTTAAAGTTTATAAAGTAAATAAATTGTATCCATTTTAGGAAAACTTTATTGAATCAGATATTTAAGATAAATATAGAAGATCTACAGTCTGTTGCAACCAAATATTTGCTACCTTTATTTGATCCGACTACATCTTCCTGCGGAATCTGTTGTTGTAGTTCAAAAATTGAAGAAATCGTCTCCGGATTTAAAGAGTAAATTTGATTTTTTAGTGTATGAAATATACAAAATTTGTTATAACATGAGCGTTTAATTTCAGAATGGATCGTAACTTGAATGTAATAGACAATTTAGATGATTGTTTGTTTTCTCAAATACAAGATGAGAGTTCCTCAAAGGAGTATTGATATTATTAAATTTAAAATGATTATGTTTACAAAATATATGATGGAATTTGCTGAATTAGGTAAGTTGAAAAAAAGTAGAACTAAAATATTCCTTCATACTTACAAATAATATAAATTGCAAGAAATTATTAATATTCTAATAAATCTCTCACTTTCTACTTCTGTGTAAACATCATTACTTTATATAATTCTTATTGTTTGAGATACTTCAGTCTAGTAACACACTCAATTTAGTGCCAATTTCAGAAAACGTGGTGCTAAGTTCTGGTTTCGTATTCTCGATTTTAAGAACTTAGGAAAATTTTTGAGCCATTAGGTAATTGTAAATTAGGTATTTATCAAGTTTGTGTGGCAAATTTATTGATAGAAAAGGCATACATAAGAATTATTTTATCACATTAAATCTTCAAGAACATAAAATATTGTTCAATGATCAATTTACTTTATATAATAATAAGTAAATCCAGTGCAGTTAACTAATTAGACTATATAAAATTTTAGATTCAAATGAGAAAAATATTATATAAGCAGAATACTCCAAAAGTCGCTATCTGTTTTGCTGAAATAGGTTAACTTTCAGAGAAATAGATTAACTCTCTGACGAGTGAGTTTATCAACGGTTCCTACTTTTCCCAGAGTGAGTTAGTTTTTAAAAAAATTAATATCTCATCTTCTCATTCATATTTTTTTAATAAACTAAGCAATATTGAATACTGAGCCTTTGGTATTATTAAAAGTAAATAAGACTTCGATCCCAGGAAAAACTATATTGTCACATCACGTAAATCACATTAGCATGAAAAATGATATAGCACTATAACAATATATTTCCAATTAAAATCACCTTATGAAAATAACCCATTTTACCCCTCTACATCTTACTCTGCTTTAGTTTTACATAAAGCCCCAAAACTAGAAGAGAACAAAGAAAAAAAATAATCATCCTAATTAATTATACTCATTATTTAAGAGCTACTTCCAAGCACAAAGTCTTGCAGTCTTTGCCATTAATTACTTTAGCTCTCAAACTCCTTTTGTATATCCATGTTTTCTCTGTAACCTTCTAACCTCTTTATCCAGCAACCTCATACTCTCTCATCTTGCTATATTCTCTTTACTATAAGCTTCTTGACTTGGCATGATAGTAATTTTTCTGTCCTGATATCTCTCCTACGTTCCTCTATCCTAGTCCACAGTAATCATTTTATGGTTCCTATTTTATTTCTTCATATATACTCCCACTTTGCAACTCTCCTCTCTCCTTTGATTTCCTGTAAGTACTTCAGAAAGCAATGCTTATATTTTCACCGGAACAGATTAAATTTACACACATTCATTCTCATCAGACCACAGTTAAGTAGTGAGAAATTCAAAATCTAGTGAAAGAAAAACAAAATTGCTGCCAGGTACCATAATCTAATCTCACCCAGAGCTAATGGCTCCCAGTCCAGATCAGGAGAAAAACAGATGAGGACAGGAGGAACTTCACCCAGAGCTCTCAATCATCCGCTTTTTGTGTGGACAATTAGCTTTTCGAGTGGTGCTCACATCCTTTGTGCTTGGTATTTGTCTGCTTTTTTTTGCCAATGCATCCAATTAGCATTCTTTAAAAGCATTGTTTCATTTTATTGACACACCAAGTAAAAAAGTCACTGACTGACTATATGTACAGGAATCACAGTTAATAATTTTCAGGAAATGATATAGTAATTTGGAATATATTGTTCAAAAGAAAGTTGTTTTCTTAGGTAGTGTGCAAAATTTCAGAAGAATACAATAATAAACTTTCTACAAACCTATAACCAGCGTGAAATATGTTCAATTGCTTACGCTAACGTTTTCGGATCCCACTGGATCCTTCATCAGGCTATGTTTCATTTGTAACGATCCATTAGAATGCCAGCTGTCTTTGGAATGAAATTTCAAATATCAAAGACAGCTGGCATTCTAACGGATCGTTACAAATGGAACATATTACTATGTAATTGAATACTATGTAATCAAAAACATTAGCCTAAGCAATTGAACATATTTCACGCTGGTTATAGGTTTGTAGAAAGTTTATCAAAATTTCAGATTTTTCTATAAAGGAATTGCTGAAATATAAGCAATCGAAAAGTACAAAAATTGCCAAAAAAAGCTGTTTTCTTTTTTTCCCTTCATTTGGTATTATAAACACTCCTAGAGAAAAAACTATTGGGTCTAGAAAGCTCAAATTTTAAACTTAAGCCTCTCTTGTTACAAATGAAATGCTGGCAAAACTTCCAGGTCATAGGTCAAAGTTTGTGGGGTTTTCCATAGAACTATTTTACTTTTATCGCTTAATTTTATGCTTGTAAGGATAAAATATCATTGAAATGAATGATTTTTATTCAAAATTTTATCCATCATAACAAAACATCAAACGTTTTTACATCTCAGATGTTTTTGTTTGGATATCTTGTTTTAATAATAAAAACTTTTTCTTTTGAAAAATTCACAGTAATACTACAGCTTTTTTTGACGTACATTGGATGATTTGTTTCCAAATGTCTTCAAGGGCTCGAAACCTGCAAAGTTAAACAAAATGATAACTGCTTTCCATTAACTATCTTATATAGAAATCCATATTTTTAAAATTTTGCAACATATTCTCTGCTTTTTGCATAAACAAGAAGTTTTATACGCACAAACCTTAATAACAACCAAAAAAGATCAGCAATTTCCAACATTTAACATTGTGTCTTTCGGTATAAAGTTAACTTTTTTATTAGATTTATAAATCAATTTTATTGTTTACAGAATAAATGAAAATTGAAGACAGAAGGCTTCGCCAGCTACTTGGGAATTTTGAAGGCATTTTTTTTATTCTTATCATTAATACTGTTTATATATAACTTTGTATTTTGTACCAAATAAAACTTTTGTAATCTCTATAAAATATTTCATTACAAAAATTATTAGATAATTTCTATTTTTTAAATATGCTACAGAAAATGATTAAATTTCTTCTAAATGTCATGTTAAATCCTGTCAACAGTAAAATTTAATGATAATTTAAATGAACAAAGTTGGACCTGTCAGTAGGTTCTTGTGATCCAATCAACAATCACACTTAGGTATTTAATTGAAGTGATGTCACTGGAACCCATACCAGTAGGCTCCATAGACTGACAATGGTAATGCCAGCTAGTTATGCTCATTTTGAATGATACACTCTAGTTCACGTTTCAAAATACATAATTGAAAAAAAGTTATCAAGCTTTATGCTTTATTAACCCATTCTGGAGACAAGCATCTAGTCTTTGTTTAGTCTCGGTTAATAATGGAATGCAGTAAATGCATATCATTTGTTTATCATACTGTCAACATTGTTGAACTCATTACACATTAAATAAAATGGAATGTAGCTCGTGTNCTATTTTTTAAATATGCTACAGAAAATGATTAAATTTATTCTAAATGTCATGTTAAATCTTGTCAACAGTAAAATTTAATGATAATTTAAATGAACAAAGTTGGACCTGTCAGTAAGTTCTTGTGATCCAATCAACAATCACACTTAGGTATTTAATTGAAGTGATGTTACTGAAACCTATCAGTAGGCTCCGTAGACTGACAATGGTAATGCCAGCTAGTTATGCTCATTTTGAATGATACACTCTAGTTCACGTTTCATAATACATAATTGAAAAAAAGTTATCAAGCTTCATGCTTTATTAATTAACCCATTCTAGACAAGCGTCTTAGTTCTAAATTATGCCGCTAAGGCGATCAGCGCCAGTCGCAAAAACTGGTTTTGTCAGTTTCGGATCATAGTTACACATGGGTCTTGTCTTTATTCAGTCTTGGTTAATAATGGAATGCAGTAAATGCATATCATTTGTTTATCATACTGTCAACATTGTTGAACTCATTACACATTAAATAAAATGGAATGTAGCTCGTGTGGTTTAAAATATCCAGTACAATACTTGTGTTTTCTATTCATAATTATAAATTATAAATTCTTTGTTCAAAATTATTAGTTAAAAGTGAAACTAAAATATATTTATAAATAGACACCATGCTTAAAAATGAATTGTTCTATAAAAAAATTAATATTGTAAGATTATCAGATGGAATTATTAAAATTTGAATATTTTCCCACTGAAAGAATGCTATTATTAGTAGTAATTGAACATTCTATAATATGCATAAGTATACAGCCTAAAAAACATTACTGTTTGCATTAATTATAAATTCATTACTCGTGAAATATGCAACCATCATATTATCCAGATATTATTATTTTGGAAAGGATACTTAGAGAAAAAGACAGGGTTCAAGACTAAAACCTCCTCTCACTCAGCCAATTATAGGTGGAGGGGATGTAATGTTTGTTAGGGGAAACTTCTTGGCACGTTTTTCTTTAATAATTATAACTTTGCAATTTGTAAACAAATTATAATGTACTACATAATTGCAGTATAATTTTTTATATGCAGTATTTTTCAACATTAAATAGTAACATATTTAATATTCTTCTATCCCATAAGGGCAGATAGAACCAAACCTCAAGATGTAATTTTTATAATAATTAAAATGTCAAGTGGTTATAGTATGGACGTCATCCTATTGTTCCTATCCAGATCTATCTCTGATAGAGCAATATACTAATATTGTCAATGCTGAAAAACTGGTACAATACTACAGAAGTTTGATTCATTTAGCCTCTATATTCATGATTAGATTAATTCATTGCATTAATTTCCACTGAAGTAATATTTGAGATGTAATATTAAATAATGTTAGCAGAAAACAAATTACTACAAAAAAATCTAGTTAAATAAATAAAATACAAAATCAAATAATAAGTTAAGTTAAAACAACTTTCTTACATGGATACTGGAACGTATATAAATTAACAATCTTAAACCTTAAAAAGTCCAGTATTAAATATTTAATAGAAAACAAACGCTTTTGACCATACTTTCGGTCTTCTTCAGGTTTAAAAAGATAGAGCATCTGTTTGTGCTGTTCCATTTTTTAAAAATAATTTCGTAACTTTGTTCTACGCATTCATGTGTTTGTATCCCAC